TTCGCTTTATCCAGGCATGATAAGCATCGGTCTATATCTCTATTTCTTCTTTGCTAGTCATTGTAGGATAAAATACTTTTGAATACACAGCCCCTTTAGTCTCCTCTTTATCGCTGTCTTCATCTGAACTCGAATCTCTTGTATCCTTCTTTCCTCTCTTGCCAACTTCCTTCTGATCACAGAGTCATATCCACCCATGATCTCTTCTCAATCACTCTGATCTTCATCTTCATCATCTTCTTCAAGTTCCATCTTCCTTAACCTCACTCTTCTCTTCCAGACATCTCATTTTCTTCCTTCTGGAGTTTTGGATTCATCTTCATTGTCGTTTCTGCTTGTCCTCTATCTATTATTTGTTCATCTTCATCTCTGATGCAATAATCACCCTGCTGGATGATCACTGGAAGCTGAGGATAAACATCCCTAAGCTCTACTTCCTTCTCGTAAGGTGGGGGTCTTTTTGCTGAATCCGTATGTGAGAAAGGTGTACTAACTTCTTCCATTAGTTTTCCTGTCACCTTCTCTATACCTTTGTTTATCTTATCGCTGGAATCTTTTATCAGTTTTTGTTTGAGAATGAAGGGCAACTTTTGTTTCATTTGCCGGATAACCTAGCAATACTCTTAACTAAAGGATTACCATTTTGTACTATATCAAGGTGTAATCACCTTCATAGCCTTGCTGTCCTTTATAGCCTATGGCTTCCCCCCTTTAATTATTAATATAAACCAAACAACCCCAAAAAAAAATATATATATATATAATTTTTTTTTTTAAATAAATCAATAAAAATATGAATATGAAAAAATTCAATTAAATTCTTTATTCAAAAACCATTTTTAATTAAAATAAAAAATCAATTAAAAAATCAATTAAAAATTATGAATAATTAAAACCAATTTTTATTTCTATATCTTATCTTACCAATTTATATGTTCTAATATTAGTGGTGGTTATCTTACCACAACCCATCAGGAAAGTAAATGTAAGTTAGTCAACTTCAAAGCAATCCCAAAAACAAAGCCTTCTAACCTTACAACACTACAATTCCCATAACCCCCTTGCTCTATAAGCACCTAATTATTTAAATTTTACAGAATAATGTCAGTCCTCGATTCCCAACACAACTTAAATCAACCCAAGTGATGCACATAGCCTCCAAAATGCAATTTTTTATGAAATAGTATTTGCCAAGCCTATGTGAAATTGTCATAACATCAGATATCCTGTAGGGGAAGATTTTGTAACCAGACCAGTACCAAAACCTTTTTGACTCGATCATCTGTCGCGTCACGTGACGTTACGTCAGCACCCCCTCTCTTTCTCTCTCCATTGCTCCTCTTATATGACAAAAGAACAGAGACACAAAAAGATTTTTGTAGTTAATGCAATCACTGAGTTATTTCAACCATATTCAATATTCCCCCACTCACATTCGCTTTAAGACTTAATTCAGGACTAAATAGATCGCTCAAAAACATTTTTATTTTATTTTAATCCGTCATTTAATTTAATTCATTACGTCAACATATACCTAATTTATAAATTCACTACATCCCAACAAATAGTTTCATTTTCAAACAGCAGCCGCTTTAAAACTATAAGATTCGTGTTAAAATCTCTCCTCTTTGTTCCCTCGTCTGTGTTTCTCTGTCTCTTCCTGAGCACGCAACCCCACAGAAATATGACCCTTTACCCACAATCCCGTGTTGTAGTTTTAGCAAACAACATGTTGTAGTTTAGTGCCGTAAACCAACCTCTCATAATCTCGTGCCATAAACTTCAACGTTTTGTAGTGTAGTGTCGTAAAATTAAACGCATGCGCAAATGCATTCAATGATACGATTCCCAGACAATAGAACGATAGCATAACGCTACAGCTTCACTATTTTATACCTTATAATCGAACAATTACACATAACAGAGCTCACATTTGCGTAGAACTCTGAATTCCACACACACAAACAAGTTTAAGAGGCTTTAATCCATCGCAATGGCCCTCTAAGGACACCCGTTAGCATGTAGCACGCAACACAATTAGCATTTAGCATTAGCCTTTAGCATTAGCCGCTATGTACAATGTAGCATGAAACCCAATCCAGCATTTAGCATTAAAATTAGCCTTAGCCTTTAGCTAACTGTGGCCTACCACGCCCTAAGTAACCTTGCATTGTGCCTAAATCATTGTCCATTTATCCCCGTCTAACTTTATGCTGCCGTAAGTTATGGATATTATATGAGCGGCTACCCCATGCAAATACCCCGTCGACTACAAGATGAGAATAGCTTACAATATAACCGTCCACCTCATAGTTCCGAGAACTAACCTGACAACACACCTAGCGCGTTGCAAGGATTTATGGCCCACTCCTAAGGAGTCGCCCCATTTCGAGGTCTTCCACAGATTCACAATGCCCTAATGTATACATATTCCTGACTTAATTGTACACCTGCCAATACTTAATTCCTACCATTTTGTGCTCTAAAATTCCAATTATCTACCGTTTACCAATGGAACCACATTTTAGAATATTATTACAGACTCCTAGTCGATCACAATAGCACCACATCAACAACGACCCAAGTACTTTTAACTGTACACCTTCAATGCCCTCTCATGAATCAGCGGAATAACTAATGCCCAAATTTTGTGAGTAATCTCACCTTTAAAGCCGGCTTGGGCAGTAGTCAACTCGCGACTCAGGAAGGGAACCAAGAACGATGCAATCAGAATCTCAGCGGAGCCTCCATTTTGAAGTGTCGCGTCTGCTGTGGGTGGTTATTGCTGTCAACAAAGAGTCCGCTTAGGCTGCACCGTGATTAGAGGCTTTTATTAATATCACACGTTTACAGCATAAGTTACAGACCCGCGGTGTCTGGAGAAGCGCCGTCCCAAATTAATCTGAATGCTTCTGCCCCCTCTTTGACTAGCCCATACTTATAAACAAAGCAGAATATGGGTGGCTCCCTCTTTCGTCCAATCACCTATCCCCCCTGGGGCGTCACCCTCCAAACGGCTACATTTGAACTAAGATAAACAACATTCCATTTCTTCATGAAAAACATTTAACAAAGGCATAATCCTAATACACGACAGTATTCACCAATCCAAAGAGGGGAATAGGCGTGAGTTTGACAGCCCGCCGTTCCGCTCTGTGGACAACGAATCCCATTGTTAGGGCAAAGACGCAAGCGTCTCGTCATTATTTACAGCATCTCTGGGTCTGCTCTGTGGACAACGAATCCCATTGTCAGGGCGAAGACACAATCATCTTGTCATTATATCCAATATCTCTGCCCACACACACGAACGGAACACACACGGATGAAAGTTGGGGGAAGGGATTTTTCGCGCAGGATCTCGACTGTAGTTTTGAGTTTGAATTTATTGATTCTTACAGATAAAACAGAAGAAATTCAGAATTTACATCATAAAAAAAATTGCTAATCACTCACTTAAAATACATAATACGTGGAGCTTTACCAGAGACTGAAGAGGAAGTGAGACACCCCACTCGCTGTTTTTTCTGGTTCAATGAAAGTCAATGAACTAAGTAGATCAGACCCAGCTGCTATTGTATTGGTCTCTATGGAAGACTACACCATTAAAAGTAGACTGGTCAGTTCTATTCTTTTCAATGGTAAATGGCCTGAGTGAACTATCTTCATTTATCCACCATATTTGACTTTACTTCGAGAGAACTTAGGGTGGCGTGATGTTGTCCCAGTGCTCTGCTGGTGATTTACCTATTTACACTTTTGTCAAGTTATAGGCACTCTGCCTAGTTTGAAGGCTTTCTGCCTTAGAAGCCAGCTTCAATGTATCGGCCATTCAGTTTGTGTTATTTTTGTCATTTACTTTTATACAATTGTGTGCGTGTTTCACGGTGATGGACATTGAAGGAGTGCATCATACATAACACAGATAAAGTTGAGCCGACACAACAATGGATACAACACATTTTACATATTTTATTCTAGATGTATTACAGTTTTTTTGGACACTGACATTCATGAATAAACAAAAGGGATTTCATTGGCAAAAACGTTTGAAAATGATTCATTTGGACATAGAAGCACTAAACACCAATGGTCCGATCCTCATTAGCTCATGTAACATTACATGATAGCCCGCCATTTGTTGAAATCCTGAATAAGTCTGTCTTCAACAGCACACTCAGAACAGGTGCGTGTTGCGGATGGAGAATAGTTCTATGCATATCCTTTTTACAAAGGCTATTTGTTGTGGCGCAAAGCATGTCAGAAAACAGATTGTATTTGTCTCCTAGGCTAAACTCGTTTGCCATGTCTATGGAGTAACAGGATAATGTCACAATCCTTGAGTGAATACTGGAAAATCACAATATTAGACTTGGTTATGTATAAAAAGGTACTTGACTATTTACAAAATTCAAGTTTGTATTTCTACAAAGTAAAAGTGCATCAAAATTATGAATTTATTCCATTTATTTTCCTACAATGAAGATAGGACTAGCATTAGAGGAGAGGGGAAGAAACGTGGGATCTCCAAAACAGAAGGTATTTTCTTGGGACTTTAAAAAAAAACAGTTCTCTGTACAAGTTCTTTGGAAGCAGAAGCACCAGAGAGTTTCTTAAATGTTTACAATTCTTGTACTGGTGCCTTAGAGATTTTCAGTTCACAACAGCATTCTCTAAAAGTCACTCGGGTAGAGTCACATCTACTGGCACCTGCCACCAACTTCTTCGTCCTCGAGTTTCTCTCCAGAAGTATGTACTGCCCATGTCAGCGCAGTAGGTCATAGTAGGCCAATATAGCCGACCTTCAGTTGGCACAGCACCTTGAGGTTTTTTCTTGTACAGTTATCTCAAAACAAAGCCTACGAAGGTGAATCAAATTTAAGCTGCTTGCCTCAATCATTGTCTGATTTATAACTGCAGCCCTTTCTAAGTTAGTCATTATTACATCAATAGGAATGGACACATCAACCAAAATATCTCTCCATCGCTCTTCAATGTAGTCAGGAGGAAGGGTGCCATAGCCTAGCTACAGGGTAGAGGTTAGAGGTGGGTAACCAGTGGCAGGGTGGGTAGAGGTTAGAGGTGGGTAACCAAGGGCAGGGTGGGTAGAGGTTAGAGGTGGGTAACCAGTGGCAGGGTGGGTAGAGGTTAGAGGTGGGTAACCAGTGGCAGGGTGGGTAGAGGTTAGAGGTGGGTAACCAGGGGCAGGGTGGGTAGAGGTTAGAGGTGGGTAACCAGGGGCAGGGTGGGTAGAGGTTAGAGGTGGGTAACCAGTGGCAGGGTGGGTAGAGGTTAGAGGTGGGTAACCAGGGGCAGGGTGGGTGTAGGTTAGAGGTGGGTAACCATGGGGAAGGGTGTCTAGCTACAGGGTAGAGGTTAGAGGTGGGTAACCAGGGGCAGGGTGGGTAGAGGTTAGAGGTGGGTAACCAGGGGGAAGGTGGGTAGAGGTTAGAGGTGGGTAACCAGGGGCAGGGTGGGTGTAGGTTAGAGGTGGGTAACCATGGGGAAGGGTGTCTAGCTACAGGGTAGAGGTTAGAGGTGGGTAACAAGGGGCAGGGAAGGGGAGGTGAGGAGGGTCCAGTAGTCTCAGCACTACAGTGGAGGGCAGTGGAGTGGAGGGCAGTGGAGGGCAGGGCAGTGGAGGGCAGGGCATTATGGTTGGCAGTGCTGACGTCTCATCATGGGTCATACAGGTACAGTTGGTCATCCAGTGCACTGAGCAGGTCTTGATCTGACGGTCTCATCTTGCAGAGCCGTCTGGACTGTACCACTGTAGTGTCGGGGCGGGGGGATGGGGCGGTCCCTGAGTGTTGGGTCCCCTGTGTGTGTGATAGCTGGTCCCTCGCCTGCATTAGTTACCGCTCCTCCGCCTCCTCCTTTCCATTGGTCTCCTGCTCATCCTCTTCTCTCCTCTTCTGCCTCTGGAAGAAGCCAAGCTTAGAGGAGGAGGAGGGAGGAAGGAGAAGTGAGATTGAGAGGCATAGATACTACTAGATCATTTTCCTAGAAACAATCTCAACTGGCTTTATCAGTGTTGGGCATGCTGATTCTTAGTGGGAAAATACATACAATAATGTACAATCATTCTTTGCCAGAAGAGGGCAGTGTTGTCCAATAAATAACACTGCAGTTACAACTGTCTAGACATCAGTCAGTTAGAACACTCCTACTGAATTTAGAGAAAGAGCCTGAGTCCACCTGAAATGGCACACTATGCTCACTGTCCCTTCTGCAATCCAGGACAGTAAAAATTACAGGTGCAATCTGGCAATAATCTATCTAGTATAAACAAACACAAATCCTGTTGCTGTAAATGCACTATCCAGATATCATATAAATGTATCATGGACATTTTGATCATCATGTGTGTTGTAATGTTTGTACATGATGAGAGCTCCAGGGCAGTAGGGCAGGGCTTACCTTCCATAGAGCTAGACTGAGCAGGGATAGCAGCAACAACCCTCCCAGCGTGCTCCCAATGATAATCCAGATTGAGATTCTGTAATCCCCTTCTTTCCTAATCTCCAGGATTATCTGTGGGAACGAGCACCCAAAACAAGACAAAATGGCACCCCGATCAAATAACAAAAGCTGATCCTAGTTCAGTTTACACGCCATAGACTGCAACAGATTATGTTAACTGTCGGGAATCTTACTACATGTCGCTGTTTTGTACCATTGGAAGACTTCCAAAGGGCAGATTCTAGGGTTTGTGAAAGTAACAGGTGCCTATAAAGCTCAAATATATGCAGATCTATCTTGCGTGATGCTTATTTATGGGTCAGTGTTAACATGGTGTCATCTTGTGTGGATCACTGTTTTTGCTGGAATTCCATCTCAGCAATGATGCATTCAAAATACAAATGATTCCCTGCTCTCCTTCCCCGTGGAGTCTCGTCAAAAACAGAGATGAAAGGAACTGGATGTGCTTCTAAGAGCGTTGAGTTGAGTGCATATACAACTTTGTGTGACTGGTTATTGCTTAACTGTAAATATTGGCCTGTAGATGGCAGCAAAGAGCAGTGAATGGGCGCACAGGGCTACACTACACGTGTTGCTGCTGGTCCTTTCGGTCCTTAAGCACCATGCAGTCAATAATGTGTGTTAGAATAACAGCCTTGGCTGTGAGGATTCTGCATAGCTATTAGGAGCCAATAAGCATATTCGTAGAACATAAACTGCAACTACAGTGAAAAGTAGTCTAGGCTTTTGGACAGGCTGCTACTGAAAATACAGGTTTTCAATCGAATGAATGAATGAATGAATGAATGACTCAATAGAAAAGGTTATGCACTGAAGTGTGTCTTGACTTGGAGTTATTTGTACTCACATGTCTGACAGGCCTTTCTTCATGAAGAAACATGGGGCTTGAAGGTGGAAGTTCTACTGATGCGCTCGTCACCAGTTCCAGGACTTTGAACCTCAGCTGATGGTGTAAGAGAGGGTGAATGAACACAACAGGAAGTTACTTCTCATGGACATGCTCAAGGAGTGTAGGTTTAGTAGTGTGTGTGTGTGTGATATACTCACAGCATGCAAGGCGTCCAACCGTAATGCCCCCCTGATTCTGACGCTGACTTCCCTGTAGGGGTTCAGGTTGACAGTGCATTGGACCGGCAGAGGCAGAGTATTGGAGTGGTTCTGCATAGAGACCAAACACAAGCTTGTTAGTTAAGAATGTTCCATTATTTAGGTAAGATAGTTGCAATCATATGGTGTGGGTAGTTTACCAGGCGTGAGACTCGAGAGAGGTCTTCTGGGGACGCCCTGCTCTGTGCCACATGTTGAGGGGGTATGCAGCGGGTACCGTCTGTCTAAGGAGACAGAATGACATCTCTGTTAGAACGGAGACAGTATAAGTACACACTTGGTGGTCTCTCAAAGGAAGCAGACCTTTGCTAGATTTTCAAGTCCTCTCACCTGGTCAATATTGAAGTCCGATATCTGCAACAGCTGGTTCCCGTTTTTGGTCATCTCTGGAATTTCTATATTCAACTGCAGGTCCCTCACCGGAAAGAAGCCCAGATTCTGGATCTGTGAAAAATATAGAACGCTTATTCAGTCTTAACTCAAGCAAGGTATTTTGTGATGTAATTGCAATATACAGTATTTCTACACTGTAAAGACAATTGATTGTTGCGTGGTTGCTGTATGATTGTGCCGCAACCCTGTGTGTTGTGACATTTGGTCCTCACCTGGAAGGTGAAGTTGAATGGAGGGCCAATATTTCCCGGTACCTCCAGCGAGAGGTCTGCTTTGATTTCACAGCGAGAGGGGTTGGAGTCCCTTTAGGGAGAAAGGAAGGTGATACAGTATATCATGTACAGTATATCTGTATACTGTATATCTAACGTTTGCCATTATGTCTGTGCAACACTAAATCAACATTGAATCCGTCAGTTCCAGTGACAGGGAATTGTATACAATATGCTAGTTAGCTGTTTATTTTACAAGAGTTTATTTAAGGAGACTGACAGAAGGAGAAGGAACGTTAGAGAGGACATTGTGAGAAAGACAAACCTTGTAAATAGGAGGTCAGCCTCGTATTTCAGCGGGTGAAAGATGTCGTTGAAATTGTCTGCTAAGGTAACCTCCTCTCCATCACTGCAGAAAAAAAGCATTTAAAGCATTTCAACTATTCTGACATGTCAAACTCACAACCCAATGGGACTGCATGCCAATTGACCCTTGGATGACGAGAGCATATTTCAGAGACGAGAGCATATTTCTGTCAATATCCTACTTCTCACTGGGTGGATCTGTAGTCTGTGGTTAGCGTGATGAATCAGTTCATTGTTGAGAGATGCAGTATGTTTGACACTAGGAAAGTCAGGAGAGCCGAAACTCCTGAGCTAAGAACATTAGCTCATTATCTCACTGATTATAACTGTAAAAATAGTATCTATCAGACAAAGTTATTAAAAAACGGCTTAATATTTGAAGCGGTTTAGTGAGTCCTCACCTGCTGGCTTCTAGAATGACTCGTACGTGGTCCAGGAACACTGATCGGCTGAACTCAAACTCCAGACGGAAAGATACCTACATGGGCGACGACAAGAGAGAATATTATAGTACCACGATGACAAAATGTCATGCGTTTGCATCAATGTTACAGTTACAGTGCTCATGCCAGTCACATTACCCATGAGTTTTGCCCAACAGAACAGTCAGAACATGCATACAGGTGTGGACGCAGAGTAGAGCTGATCTGAGAGCAGTAGCCCTGGGTCACTGGGTGAGGGATCTCCTGGCTATGAACCATTCCAAACTGTACGCTTCCTCAGTCCCCAGCCTCCGACAGTAATACATCCCACATTAGGGATTAAAGAGAGAAGCCTGCAATAACCTGGACTAAGTCCTTGGCCTCGGACCCAAGGAGCCTGCAGCCCTGTTGGTACCCAACAAAGAACCAGGGCATTTCCCCTCTGAAGACCAAGCACTGAACACACCCACAATTACTGTACTGCCAACATGGATGGGTTCCATGGAGCCACAGTGCAGCTACTGTGAGTTTACATATGCCTGATTCTAAACCGACCCTTAGAACCTTAGAACCTTCATGTAGATGTAAACAGATTGGGTATGTAGGTGAGAGTGGAGTTTTTTTACATTCAGCATCACTCCGTCAAGGGAAATATAGTATTATTTCTAACAACGATATCTACACATATTTCAGGATGTTATGTATCCCTGGAAATAATCAGAATGAAGGTAACCATTACAGTTTTGAAAACATAGCTTGTCCCAAAAAAGTGGTCACTGAGTCTTTTAACACAGGCTTAACGCCTAACAAACACCTTGTAGTTTTCTACACTTTTAACATTGGCCAGAACCTGTTCCCTCATAGCCTGGCAAGAAAACAATTCAATTTGCTCAGCTTGTCTTTGGCTCAACCATTGGCTCAACTTACCCCAAGGCAAACATTTTCACTATATTAGCCCACACAGCTGCAAGGATGCACTTTAATGCTAGGTTTAGGACCTCATATTGAAGTTTATAGAGACCCGAACCGATGTATAGAACAATCTTAAAATGGTTTACGTTGGTTTAGATACAAGGATCATGAAACCTTTAACACACATTTATTTGACTTGGTGAAAAACAGTTTTTTGGACCTAACTTGCTTACCACTTTTTCCATGTAGTTTCTTCCTTCACAGACTCCATGAAATGATGACCTCTTCCTAAATATTTGGGCAAATAATATATTATGTGTATGGTTCCCTAGAAACAAGGGTCACGCAACTTACCCGTTTGGGGCAACTTGCCCCACTCTCCCCTACTAAGAGTATGGTCATAGCTCCACCTCACTTTCTGATAGGTTGAGTGTTATATTTTCCATATACAGTGGGTATAGAAAGTCACCACCCCCTTCCAAAATGTTCACCTTTTGTTGCCTTACAGCCTGAAATGAAAACACATAAAATCAGACTTTTTCTGGCTTTTTATTTACACACAGTAACCCACAATATCCAAGTGGAGAATATAAAATCTATTTTTTGAAATTATAATTAAAACAGTAAAATACCCTATTTGGATAAGTGAACGCCACCCTGAGTTAATACTTGGTGGAACCACCTTTTGTTTGAATTACAGCCATGAGTCTCTTCGAATACCTAGACTGTGCAATATTTACCCATTCTTCCTTGCAGAATTGTTCAAGCTCAGTCAAATTGCATGGTGACCGCTCATGGACTGCACTCTTCAAGTCATTCCACAGATTCTCTATAGGTTTTAGGTCGGAGCTCTGACTAGGCCACTCAAGGACATTCACCTTATTGTCCTTCAGCCACTGTATGGTTGCTTTGGCGGTGTGCTTTGGGTCATTGTCATGTTGAAACGTGAACCATCTTCCCATTTTTAACTTCCTGGCAGAGGGCTGCAGGTTGTCCTCAAGAATCTGTTGGTATTTTGCACTGTCCATTTTCCCTTCTATTCTGACAAGTGCTCCAGTCCCTGCTGAAGAGAAACACCCCCACAACAGGATGCTGCCACCGCCGTGCTTTACTGTAGGCATGGTGTTCTTTGGGTGGGAAGATGTATTGGGTTTTCGCTAGACATATCATTTTGCGTTCAGGCCAAAAAGTTCAATTCTGGTCTCATCTGACCACAGCCCCTTTTGCCACTTGGCCTCGGAATCTACAATGTGCTGTTTGGCAAAGCTCAAACGAGACTTGATGTGGCTTTTTTTGAGGAGTGTTTTTTTTCTTGACACCCTCCCATAGAGACCAGATTTGTGGAGTGATATTGTGGTCACATGCACACATTGACCAGTCTTTGCCATAAAGGCCTGCAGCTCCTTAAAAGCCGCCATTAGCTTCTTGGTAGCCTCTCTGATCAGTCTCCTCCTTGCCCGGTCATCCAGTTTGGAGGGATGGCCTGATCTATGCAGGGTCTGGGTGGTGCCATACACCTTCCACTTCTTAATAATGGTCTTAACTGTGCTCCGAGGGATAGACAAAGCCTTTGAAATCTTTTTATATCCATCCCCTGACTTGTGCCTTTCCTCAACTTTATCTTGTAGTGCTTTTGAAAGTACCTTTCCGCCCATAGTGGATTCTTTGCTTTGAATTGCACTGGTAAGCAGTGGAGTCCTCTATGAACAACTGCTTTTATTCTGAACTAATCAAAGTCACTACAATTGATCACAGATGGAAGCCAATTAGCTTGATTTGTGATCTGGAAGATGGTTGGTTATACCTCAGCAAGTTTGCAATTGCAATTGTAAGGGGGGGGTGTTCACTTGTCCAAATAGGGTATTTTACAATTTTACTTAATACTTTTTTTCTCCACTTGGATATTGTGAGTTACTGTGTGTAAATAAAGCCGGAAAAAGTCTAATTTTATGTGTTTTCATTTCAGGCTGTAAGGCAACAAAAGGTGAACATTTTGGAAGGGGGTGGTGACTTTCTATACCTACTGTATTGCTTAATCATATTTAGAATTTGGACAAAAGTCTCCTTCCCAGCCATGTGTCTGTCTACTATGACAAGTGAGGCTACTGGACACATAAAACCACCACAACAAACAACCTGTTCAGAATTACAAAGCAATCCTTGCAACACTTAGCAGTGAGGGCATTCTCGCCCCAAAAACTGACACAAACAAGCCTAACTTCCAGCTGTATTTAGTATACAGTACATAGTCAGCCCACTAACTGCTATCCTTGGCCCCATTCAAGGAGAAGGAGAGGCGGGGAAGCATTGTTTACTGTCCTCCATCTCATGATGGACCCCTGATTCATTCCAACTGGGCAGGAAGGAATGCCTAATGAGGCAGCTATGTTCCTGCCTGTAAAGAATCCCTCAACTCTGATAGAACACAGACACTGCATGTACACAAACAAGAACCCCTACATTATCACACATACACACACACATACACACACACGCACACACACACACACATTTGTTTTACTATCCTTGTGGGGACCAAACAATTGATTCCCATTCAAAATCCTATTTTCTCTAACTCCTAAACCTAACCCTTAACGTAACCCTTAGCCCTAACCTTAAACCCTAACCCTAAACCTAAACCCAAACCCAAACCTAACCCCTAAGCCTAAAATTGCCTTTTTCCTTGTGGGTACCGGCAAAATAGGACTTCTGGTCCCCACAAGGATAGTAAAACCAAACACACATACACACACACTGTTCTGTAGGCATCAGATATGTCAAAGGAATGTTCATCTTGTTGTCTGCCTGACCACAATGCTGAGGACTGGGTCAGTTTATGCCAGATCCTTTTGGGGGAGGATTTTGACTGTAATAATAACCCTAATGGTTGGCCTCAGTGGTATGGGCTTGGAAGACATCACAGTGGAGCAGTGTGGGTAATGACTGGGGCTGATCAGAGCCCTGACACAGTGGAGCAGTATGGGTAATGACTGGGGCCGATCAGAGCCCTGACACAGTGGAGCAGTGTGGGTAATCCGACACAGTGGAGCAGTGTGGGTAATGACTGGGGCTGATCAGAGCCCTGACACAGTGGAGCAGTGTGGGTAATGACTGGGGCTGATCAGAGCCCTGACACAGTGGAGCAGTGTGGGTAATGACTGGGGCCGATCAGAGCCCTGACACAGTGGAGTAGTGTGGGTAATGACTGGGGCCAATCAGAGCCCTGACACTGTGGAGAATGTAAAACCAGAAAGTGCCTTAGGTACTCTCCTCTGCTCTGGGCCAACTCAAGACACCGTAGCAAAGTGTTTCCCAAACTTGGTCCTGGGGACCCCACGGGGTGCACGTTTAGTTTTTTTCCCCTAGTACTACACTGCTGATTTAAATAATCAACTCATCATTCATCTTTGATTATTTGTATCAGCTGTGTACACTGCTGGTCTCACTGGGCTGGCCTCTGCTCTCTACAGCGAACACTGCTGGTCTCACTGGGCTGGCCTCTGTTCTCTACAGGGAACACTGCTGGTTTCACTGGGCTGGCCTCTGCTCTCTACAGGGAACACTGCTGGTCTCACTGGGCTGGCCTCTGTTCTCTACAGGGAACACTGCTGGTTTCACTGGGCTGGCCTCTGCTCTCTACAGGGAACACTGCTGGTTTCACCGGGCTGGCCTCTGCTCTCTACAGGGAACACTGCTGTTCTCACTGGGCTGGCCTCTGCTCTCTACAGGGAACACTGCTGGCTTCACTGGGCTGGCCTCTGCTCTCTACAGGGAACACTGCTGGTTTCACCGGGCTGGCCTCTGCTCTCTACAGGGAACACTGCTGTTCTCACTGGGCTGGCCTCTGCTCTCTACAGGGAACACTGCTGGTTTCACTGGGCTGGCTTTGCAGCTAGGGTGGTGTACTGGGAGTCTTAACTCGGTACCACACTTTAAAGAGACCCAACCAGAACAGAACACATCAGGCTTGTGGCTCCGTCTGGCTCCCATTCAAACACAATGACTGTGGGTGATTCGTTCATTGAGGTTTTTTTTAACGGTCCCCCAACATGACCCCATCTCAAATCCCTCAGAAGGTTACCCCAACATGACCCCAGCTCAGATCCCTCAGAAGGGTCCCGCAACATGATCCCAGATCAGATCCCTCAGAATGGTCCCCCAACATGACCCCAGATCAGATCCCTCAGAAGGGTCCCCCAACATGACCCCAGATCAGATCCCTCAGAAGGGTCCCTCAACATGACCCCAGATCAGATCCCTCAGAATGGTTTTTATTGGAGAGAATATGAAGGAAATAATCCTGGGGTAATTCTGTTGTCAAGGAGATGACCATTATTTGTGCTAATGACTTGGTGGGGTAATGCGATAGGAGGATTGGGGAGCGGATGAAACATTTGGTTTACTGAGGCCACTTTACTTGATCGCTGTGTGAGTGTGTGTGTGTGTGTGTGTGTGACCTTTATTTAAATGTGTATTTGATTATCCAGATATTTTATTGGAACAGAATACATCTCCATTTTAAGTGTCTTTCTGTGCTACTAGAAATAAAGCATTTACTGTTACTGTTGATGTCTCCAGGTTACTTTATGCCTGAATGTGTTGTAATGTTCTCTGGCATGCCATGGAGTTTCATCTCTGGCTACCAGAACATAGAAGGTTAAAAAGAGAAGATCAGATAGGTGTTAGGTTAAAAAACACTTCTGTTCAGTGCTTAGGGGCATAGACACATGTTTAGTCTGGATACTTGTTTGTATAGGGCTGTTAGGATGAGATACAGTTGAAGTCGGAAGTTTACATACACCTTAGCCAAATACATTTAAACTCAGTTTTTCACAATTCCTGACATTTAATCCTAGTAAAAACTCCCTGTTTTAGGGTCAGTTAGGATCACCACTTCATTTTAAGAATGTGAAATGTCAGAATAATAGTAGAGAGAATGATTTATTTCAGCTTATCAATGTCTCTTCTAGGGTGTATCCACTATGGAGGAGTGGAGTAGTGACGGTCAGGAAGACTGGTGTTTTGGAGAGGAGTTGGGCCGGCTAGAGAGCATTCACTATGGAGGAGTGGAGTAGTGACGGTCAGGAAGACTGGTGTTTTGGAGAGGAGTTGGGCCTGCTAGAGAGCATTCACTATGGAGGAGTGGAGTAGTGATTATCAGGAAGACTGGTGTTTTGGAGAGGAGTTGGGCCTGCTAGAGAGCATTCACTATGGAGGAGTGGAGTAGTGACGGTCAGGAAGACTGGTGTTTTGGAGAGGAGTTGGGCCTGCTAGAGAGCATTCACTATGGAGGAGTGGAGTAGTGATTATCAGGAAGACTGGTGTTTTGGAGAGGAGTTGGGCCTGCTAGAGAGCATTCACTATGGAGGAGTGGAGTAGTGATTATCAGGAAGACTGGTGTTTTGGAGAGGAGTTGGGCCTGCTAGAGAGCATTCACTATGGAGGAGTGGAGTAGTGACGGTCAGGAAGACTGGTGTTTTGGAGAGGAGTTGGGCCTGCTAGAGAGCATTCACTATGGAGGAGTGGAGTAGTGACGGTCAGGAAGACTGGTGTTTTGGAGAGGAGTTGGGCCTGCTAGAGAGCATTCACTATGGAGGAGTGGAGTAGTGATTATCAGGAAGACTGGTGTTTTGGAGAGGAGTTGGGCCTGCTAGAGAGCATTCACTATGGAGGAGTGGAGTAGTGACGGTCAGGAAGACTGGTGTTTTGGAGAGGAGTTGGGCCTGCTAGAGAGCATTCACTATGGAGGAGTGGAGTAGTGATTATCAGGAAGACTGGTGTTTTGGAGAGGAGTTGGGCCTGCTAGAGAGCATTCACTATGGAGGAGTGGAGTAGTGATTATCAGGAAGACTGGTGTTTTGGAGAGGAGTTGGGCCGGCTAGAGAGCATTCACTATGGAGGAGTGGAGTAGTGATTATCAGGAAGACTGGTGTTTTGGAGAGAGTTGGGCCTGCTAGAGAGCATTCACTATGGAGAAGTGGAGTAGTGATTATCAGGAAGACTGTTGTTTTGGAGAGGAGTTGGGCCTGCTAGAGAGCATTCACTATGGAGAAGTGGAGTAGTGATTATCAGGAAGACTGTTGTTTTGGAGAGGAGTTGGGCCTGCTAGAGAGCATTCACTATGGAGGAGTGGAGTAGTGACGGTCAGGAAGACTGGTGTTTTGGAGAGGAGTTGGGCCTGCTAGAGAGCATTCACTATGGAGGAGTGGAGTAGTGATTATCAGGAAGACTGGTGTTTTGGAGAGGAGTTGGGCCGGCTAGAGAGCATTCACTATGGAGGAGTGGAGTAGTGATTATCAGGAAGACTGGTGTTTTGGAGAGGAGTTGGGCCTGCTAGAGAGCATTCACTATGGAGGAGTGGAGTAGTGATTATCAGGAAGACTGGTGTTTTGGAGAGGAGTTGGGCCTGCTAGAGAGCATTCACTATGGAGGAGTGGAGTAGTGATTATCAGGAAGACTGGTGTTTTGGAGAGGAGTTGGGCCTGCTAGAGAGCATTCACTATGGAGAAGTGGAGTAGTGACGGTCAGGAAGACTGGTGTTTTGGAGAGGAGTTGGGCCTGCTAGAGAGCATTCACTATGGAGAAGTGGAGTAGTGACGGTCAGGAAGACTGGTGTTTTGGAGAGGAGTTGGGCCGGCTAGAGAGCATTCACTATGTAGAAGTGGAGTAGTGACGGTCAGGAAGACTGGTGTTTTGGAGAGGAGTTGGGCCTGCTAGAGAGCATTCACTATGGGAGTGGTAGTGGATTATCAGGAGACTGTGTTTGGAGAGGAGTGGGCCTGCTAGAGAGCATTCATATGGAGGAGTGGAGTAGTGATTATCAGGAAGACTGGTGTTTTGGAGAGGAGTTGGGCCTGCTAGAGAGCATTCACTATGGAGGAGTGGAGTAGTGATTATCAGGAAGACTGGTGTTTTGGAGAGGAGTTGGGCCTGCTAGAGAGCATTCACTATGGAGGAGTGGAGTAGTGACGGTCAGGAAGACTGGTGTTTTGGAGAGGAGTTGGGCCTGCTAGAGAGCATTCACTATGGAGGAGTGGAGTAGTGATTATCAGGAAGACTGGTGTTTTGGAGAGGAGTTGGGCCTGCTAGAGAGCATTCACTATGGAGGAGTGGAGTAGTGATTATCAGGAAGACTGGTGTTTTGGAGAGGAGTTGGGCCGGCTAGAGAGCATTCACTATGGAGAAGTGGAGTAGTGACGGTCAGGAAGACTGGTGTTTTGGAGAGGAGTTGGGCCTGCTAGAGAGCATTCACTATGGAGAAGTGGAGTAGTGACGGTCAGGAAGACTGGTGTTTTGGAGAGGAGTTGGGCCTGCTAGAGAGCATTCACTATGGAGGAGTGGAGTAGTGACGGTCAGGAAGACTGGTGTTTTGGAGAGGAGTTGGGCCTGCTAGAGAGCATTCACTATGGAGGAGTGGAGTAGTGACGGTCAGGAAGACTGGTGTTTTGGAGAGGAGTTGGGCCGGCTAGACCAGACAAAAGACTTTCAGCTGAAAATTCAGCACCTCATGAAAGGCATGAGGCAGGATGGAGAGAGAGGGAGAGAGGAGGGGTAGACAAGGCCGAATGGAGAGAGAGGAGGGGTAGCGTAACTGCCATTGGAACATCAACAGTCAATGTCAACTAACAGCACACCCAAAAGGGTTCTTCGGCTGTCCCCATAGGATAAACCTTTTTGGTTCCAGGTAGAACCCTTTTTGGTTCCAGGTAGAACCCTTTTTGGATCCAGGTAGAACCATTTTGGGTTCCATGTAGAACCATCTGTGGAAAAGGTTTTACATGGAACCCAAAATGGTTCTACCTGAAACCAAAAAGGGTTCTTCTAAGGGTTCTCCTATGGGCACATTTTTCCAAGAGTAAATTCAAACATGTCTCTTTCAAAAAAGGAAAACTCTACACATTACAATACAAAACATACAGCCGACAGGAAAGACTAATAAATATGGTTGACATTACAGGCCTGGGAAGGAAGATATAAGTGGAGAAATTATGCTAAACATCAGTCAGAAAGTTGAAACAGACAATCAGATAGGGGAATCTGTAGCAGAACATACCATTAAAATATATCTTCATACTGTATATCTCATCTATCTTCATTTGATCCTGTCTGATGCTCCAAGCAAGGGAAAGCAACCTCTGTAGTCTACATTACATCAATGGTCCAAATGCAGTGTTGCATAGACATTCATTGTACTCTTTTACCATGTACACTGAACAAACATGTCCTTCTAGACCTCTCATTCAGTGATGCATAATGGCTTACTCCTATAACATACTTAAAGTGAACAAGAGTAGTGTATCATTGTCATCACCTCGGCAACGGCTGAAATCTCTACGCTCTTCTCAGCAACTGTAACAGACTGATTCAATGGAGTAATTTAACAACAAACCCTTGGTCCCAGAGGACAATTTTGATTCGTATATGAACTTAAAGGTCCACAGATTTCAGGGCAGAATTGGACATTAGTGGCCTGCAAAACAGAAAAAAACGGAACAGTACAAAGAGATTCGAGTTTCCACGCAACAAGTGTGAGCCAAAGGTCACAGTCACAATGCAACCATCAATAACATTGTTTCACGGTTATGTACTGTGAGATGTCATTTATGATAACAATCGCCCATCTTATTAAAATAATGGTAGCTGATATTTTGTTATCGCTGTGACAAGCCCAGGAGAACTGTTGCACAATAATATTGACAATATTAAAGTGGTGGTGAAGGTGGGGGTTGCCAGATTGGTGCACGGAGGGCACACTGCTGACAGCCGTCTTGGCGGGGGTTGGGGTAGGAAGGACACTCTTCTGTAACTCTTAGATGGCCGGGTTGGGTTGGGTACATGGGATAGGTGGGTGACTTGATTGTAAAATGTCAGGGATCAACCCCATATAGATTAACCATGGTTCACCTTGATCAACTCTGGGTAAATATGAACCTCTGTGGTCCCGCTGTGGTTGCAAACGGTCTGTATTGCTATACTATGGTCTTTAATGGTCCATTGTTCTGGTTTAGTGTTCTGGTAACCACTGCTGCAGTCTATGGTCGCCTATTTTGGTCTGTGATATGCTACAGTACTCCACTAGGAGCAGCTGTGGTACCCTGTGGTCATGAATGGTCTGGTATGGTTCATTGTGGTGAACTGTGTTTCACTGTGGTCTACTTTGAGCGACCGTGTTACTAAAGGGACTCCAACTCACCTGAGTCTTGGCTCTCATGAAGGGAGCGCTGACATTGCAGGTCCTCTCATGCCTCTGTCTGTCCTCACTGCGACACTCTATCTTGATATCCGAGTTGTCCTGAGATGGAAACACAGATAAAACACTCAGTGACTGAGAGAAACATGAGAGAGACAAGCTTCTACATAAGACAACCCTGAATTCCCTCAGGAATAATTATATTCTATATGGCTAGAATATGTGGAGTAGTACTTCAGATTGTATTTGAAGAAAGCTTGTTCTTCAATAGACAGACTGTTGTCTGCAGTACTGGTATACTGTTGTCTGCAGTACCGTCAAACTGTTGTCTGCAGTACCGTCATACTGTTGTCTGTAGTACTGGTATACTGTTGTCTGTAGTACTGGTATACTGTTGTCTGTAGTACTGGTATACTGTTGTCTGTAGTACTGGTATACTGTTGTCTGCAGTATGTTGTCTGTAGTACTGGTATACTGTTGTCTGTAGTACTGGTATACTGTTGTCTGTAGTACTGGTATACTGTTGTCTGTAGTACTGGTATACTGTTGTCTGTAGTACTGGTATACTGTTGTCTGCAGTATGTTGTCTGTAGTACTGGTATACTGTTGTCTGTAGTACTGGTATACTGTTGTCTGCAGTACTGGTATACTGTTGACTGCAGTACTGTCATTTATTGGACTGTATTGTTGCACTATAGTCTTTGGGTCCTGGAATAGTGCTTTATAAATCTACTGTCTACTGTGAATCATCACCTTGACTATGAGACTAGAGAATCGTAGGTTAGGAGTGTAGGTGATGTTGAGGTGGGCGCCGTAAGCGTTCTCTCCCCTGTTCTCCAGACGAACGTCCACCACCATCCTCCTCCTCGATCCCTCCATCACTCGCTCTGACCCCTCCGCCCCTCCTTCGGACAGACGCCGACACATCGCACCCCTGGAGTGGACTGCATTCCCACAGAACTGCCTGTGAGGGGGGGGGGGGGGGGAGCAGTCAATTCTGATCAAATCAAATCAAGTCAAATCAAATTTGATTGGCCACATGTGCCGAATACAACAGGTGCAGACATTACAGTGAAATGCTTACTTACAGCCCTTAACCAACAGTGCATTTATTTTTAATAGAAAAGTAGAATAAAACAAAAAAGTGTTGAGAAAAAAAGAGCAGAAGTAAAATAAAATAACAGTAGGGAGGCTATATATACAGGGGGGTACCGGTGCAGAGTCAATGTGCGGGGGCACCGGTACTGTCTGTCTGTGTGTGTGGTGTTTGTGTGTGTATGTGTGTGTGTGTGTGGTGTGGTGTTGTGTGGTGTGGTGTTGTGTGTGTGTGTGTGTGTGTGTGTGTGTGGTGGGTGGTGTGGTGGTGTGGTGTTGTGTGGTGTTGTGTGGTGTGTGTGTGGTGTTGTGTGTGTGTGTGTGTGTGTGTGTGTGTGTGTGTGTGTGTGTGTGTGTGTGTGTGTGTGTGTGTGTGGTGTGTGTGTGTGTGTGTGTGTGTGTGGTGGGTGGGTGTGTGTGTGGTGTGGTGTTGTGTGGTGTTGTGTGGTGTTGTGTGGTGTGTGTGTGTGTGTGTGTGTGTGTGTGTGTGTGTGTGTGTGTGTGTGTGTGTGTGTGGTGTGTGTGTGCGTGTGTGTGTGCTCACCTCCAAGACAGCAGGTCAGTTGTACTCTGTAAGGACAGGTCTGGTATGCAGCGGTCGTCCTCATCACAACCATTCCAGAAGGGGAGCTAGTAGAGAGAGAGATGCTCAGTTACAATCACATCCATATCATAGTACGGCTATGCCAAGAGGTCTGGACCTTTATGGTACAGCAAGTACTATGCTTGCCCTGTAAACCATAGTGTCACTGGTTCAAGCCCCTGGATGTTCCCCTTAATCGCTACAATACCACTCATAAGACTAAGAGCTAAACAAGGAGATGACTGCTTAGTGGTCAGGTCAAGCAGTCATGGGACCCGCTCAAAGCGCTTACGTTCTTCCTCACTTCCTTGAAGTGATCACTGATTGGACATGATTGGACAGATGAACAGAAGGTTTTCAGCACATGGTTTTCACCTGTCCAGACACATCTAATCAGTGATTACATAAGAGTACATAAGAGCTAAACAAGAAGTGATGACTTGTCAGTGGTCAGATTAGCGGTCAAGGGTCAGATGTGTGTGTCTTACCTCAGTCCTGATGGTGGTGGACCAGGTGTATCTTACCTCAGTCCTGATGGTGGGCCAGGTGTATCTTACCTCAGTCCTGATGGTGGGCCAGGTGTATCTTACCTCAGTCCTGATGGTGAGCCAGGTGTATCTTACCTCAGTCCTGATGGTGGGCCAGGTGTATCTTACCTCAGTCCTGATGGTGGGCCAGGTGTGTCTTACCTCAGTCCTGACGGTGGGGGGCCAGGTGTATCTTACCTCAGTCCTGATGGTGGTGGGCCAGGTGTATCTTACCTCAGTCCTGATGGTGGTGGGCTAGGTGTATCTTACCTCAGTCCTGACGGTGGTGGGCCAGGTGTATCTTACCTCAGTCCTGATGGTGGTGGGCCAGGTGTATCTTACCTCAGTCCTGATGGTGGGCCAGGTGTATCTTACCTCAGTCCTGATGGTGGTGGGCCAGGTGTGTCTTACCTCAGTCCTGATGGTGGGCCAGGTGTATCTTACCTCAGTCCTGATGGTGGTGGGCTAGGTGTATCTTACCTCAGTCCTGATGGTGGTGGGCCAGGTGTGTCTTACCTCAGTCCTGATGGTGGTGGGCCAGGTGTGTCTTACCTCAGTCCTGATGGTGGTGGGCCAGGTGTATCTTACCTCAGTCCTGACGGTGGTGGGCCAGGTGTATCTTACCTCAGTCCTGATGGTGGTGGGCCAGGTGTATCTTACCTCAGTCCTGATGGTGGTGGGCCAGGTGTGTCTTACCTCAGTCCTGACGGTGGTGGGCCAGGTGTGTCTTACCTCAGTCCTGACGGTGGTGGGCCAGGTGTATCTTACCTCAGTCCTGATGGTGGTGGGCCAGGTGTGTCTTACCTCAGTCCTGTGTGTTTACCTCAGTCCTGACGGTGGTGGGCCAGGTTTGTCTTACCTCAATCCTGATGGTGGTGGGCCAGGTGTTATCTTAACCTCAGTCCTGATGGTGGTGGGCCAGGTTGTATCTTACCTCAGTCCTGACGGTGGTGGGCCAGGTGTGTCTTACCTCAGTCCTGACGGTGGTGGGCCAGGTGTGTCTTACCTCAGTCCTGACGGTGGTGGGCCAGGTGTGTCTTACCTCAGTCCTGATGGTGGTGGGCCAGGTGTATCTTACCTCAGTCCTGATGGTGGGGCCAGGTGTATCTTACCTCAGTCTGATGGTGGTGGGCCAGGTGTATCTTACCTCAGTCCTGATGGTGGGCCAGGTGTATCTTACCTCAGTCCTGATGGTGGGCCAGGTGTGTCTTACCTCAGTCCTGATGGTGGTGGGCCAGGTGTATCTTACCTCAGTCCTGATGGTGGTGGGCCAGGTGTATCTTACCTCAGTCCTGATGGTGGGCCAGGTGTGTCTTACCTCAGTCCTGACGGTGGTGGGCCAGGTGTATCTTACCTCAGTCCTGACGGTGGTGGGCCAGGTGTGTCTTACCTCAGTCCTGATGGTGGTGGGCCAGGTGTATCTTACCTCAGTCCTGACGGTGGTGGGCCAGGTGTATCTTACCTCAGTCCTGACGGTGGTGGGCCAGGTGTGTCTCACCTCAGTCCTGACGGTGGTGGGCCAGGTGTGTCTTACCTCAGTCCTGACGGTGGTGGGCCAGGTGTCGTCCAGCGTAGGGCCCTGGTTGGGATCCTTAAGTGCCACCTCCACAGTGAACACGATGGGCCTCACGTAGTCCGTGGTCTCCTGGATCAACAACACATGTGGAGGATCAGTGTTATTACAACTGTATTACACCATACATCATGAGCCATAACCGTCACAACACACTGAGGAATAGGAAACATTATAATGATAGGATAAATCCAGAGCGATGTATTTAGAGATATGGGCCATTGAGTTTTCTGCATTATGAATTTACAGTGAGGGAAAAAAGTATTTAATCCCCTGCTGATTTTGTACGTTTGCCCACTGACAAAGACATGATCAGTCTATAATTTTAATGGTAGATTTATTTGAACAGTGAGAGACAGAATAACAACAACAAAATCCAGAAGAACGCATGTCAAAAATGTTATAAATTGATTTGCATTTTAATGAGGGAAACAAGTATTTGACCCCTCTGCAAAACATGACTTAGTACTTGGTGGCAAAACCCTTGTTGGCAATCACAGAGGTCAGACGTTTCTTGTAGTTGGCCACCAGGTTTGCACACATCTCAGGAGGGATTTTGTCCCACTCCTCTTTGCAGATCTTCTCCAAGTCATTAAGGTTTCGAAGCTGACGTTTGGCAACTCGAACCTTAAGCTCCCTCCACAGATTTTCTATGGTATTAAGGTCTGGAGACTGGCTAGGCCACTCCAGGACCTTAATGTGCTTCTTCTTGAGCCACTCCTTTGTTACCTTGGCCGTGTGTTTTGGGTCATTGTCATGCTGGAATACCCATCCACGACCCATTTTCAATGCCCTGGCTGAGGGAAGGAGGTTCTCACCCAAGATTTGACGGTACCTGGCCCCATCCATCGTCCCTTTGATGTGGTGAAGTTGTCCTGTCCCCTTAGCAAAAAAACACCCCCAAAGTATAATGTTTCCACCTCCATGTTTGACGGTGGGGATGGTGTTCTTGGGGTCATAGGCAGCATTCCTCCTTCTCCAAACATGGCGAGTTGAGTTGATGCCAAAAAGCTCGATTTTGGTCTCATCTGACCACAACACTTTCACCCAGTTCTCCTCTGAATCATTCAGATGTTCATTGGCAAACTTCAGACGGGCCTGTATGTGTGCTTTCTTGAGCAGAGGGACCTTGCGGGCGCTGCAGGATTTCAGTCCTTCACGGCGTAGTGTGTTACCAATTGTTTTCTTGGTGACTATGGTCCCAGCTGCCTTGATCATTGACAAGAGCCTCCCATGTAGTTCTGGGCTGATTCCTCACCGTTCTCATGATCATTGCAACTCCATGAGGTGAGATCTTGCATGGAGCCCCAGGCCAAGGGAGATTGACAGTTATTTTGTGTTTCTTCCATGTGCGAATAATCGCACCAACTGTTGTCACCTTCTCACCAAGCTGCTTGGCGATGGTCTTGTAGCCCATTCCAGCCTTGTGTAGGTCTACAATCTTGTCCCTGACATCCTTGGAGAGCTCTTTGGTCTTGGCCATGGTGGAGAGTTTGGAATCGGATTGATCGATTGCTTCTGTGGACAGGTGTCTTTTATACAGGTAACAAACTGAGATTAGAAACACTCCCTTTAAGAGTGTGCTCCTAATCTCAGCTCGTTACCTGTATAAAAGACACCTGGGAGCCAGAAATCTTTCTGATTGAGAGGGGGTCAAATACTTATTTCCCTCATTAAAATGCTAATCAATTTATAACATTTTTGACATGCGTTTTTCTGGATTTTTTTGTCGTTATTCTGTCTCTCACTGTTCAAATAAACCTACCATTAAAATTATAGACTGATCATTTCTTTGTCAGTGGGCAAACATACAAAATCAGCAGGGGATCAAATACTTTTTCCCCTCACTGTACATGACACTTTCTACAAAATTCTATGGCAGCCATGTTACCGCCCCATTAACATTACATGGGGGAATATTTAAATATTGTTATGCAACTAAATGTCTATAATTATAGCAATACTTAAAATTCTAAAAGTTGTCCCAATTCTCTAAATACATGGCTCTGGATAATACCATCTCAAGTCTCTGAATTACCTTCTGATTGGCTGTATGTAAATGTAGTCATATTGCTTCCACCTATCCAATACTCTCAGATCTAACGGATAGGCTAGGGTCTAGATGTTGATTTGGAATTCAGCTAGAATTTAGTCAGTGCTCACCATGACATGGAAGTAGATGTGTTGACAGGTCTCCTCTCCAGAAAGCAGGGTCAGGTTTTGAAACAGCAGTTTGTCAGGGTCGTCCATTATGGCTCTGGGGTTGAATCGGCGCTCCCCAATGGTGGTGTTGTATGTAATAGCTAGAGAGATGAAGAAAGAGGGAACATAAGTGTTGGAAACATGTTCTATACTACACTACCGGTCAAAAGTTTTAGAACACCTACTCATTCAAGGGTTTTTCGTTATTTTTTACTATTTTCTACATTGTCGAATAATAGTGAAGACATCAAAACTATGAAATAACACATATGGAATCATGTAATAAGATAGCCCTATTTGGTAAAAGACCAAGTCCATATTATGGCAAGAACAGCTCAAATAAGCAAAGAGAAATGACAGTCCATCATTACTTTAAGACATGAAGGTCAGTCAATCAGAAACATTTCTAGAACTTTGAAAATGTATATAAGTGCAGTCGCAAAAACCATCAAGCGCTATGATGAAACTGGCTCTCATGAGGACCACCACAGGAAAGGAAGACCCAGAGTTACCGCTGCTGCAGAGGATAAGTTCATTAGAGTTACCAGCCTCAGAAATTGTAGCCCAAATAAATGTTTCACAGAGTTCAAGTCACAGACACATCTCAACATCAACTGTTCAGAGGAGACTGTGTGAATCAGGCCTTCATGGTCGAATTGCTGCAAAGAAACCACTACTAAAGGTCACCAATAAGAAGAAGAGACTTGCTTGGGCCAAGAAACACAAGCAATGGACATTAGACCGGTGGAAATTTGTCCTTTGGTCTGGAGTCCAAATTTGAGATTTTTGGTTCCAACCACTGTGTCTTTGTGAGACGCGGTGTGGGTGAACGGATGATCTCTGCATGTGTATTTCCCACAGTAGAGCATGGAGGAGGAGGTGTTTTGGTGTGGAGGTGCTTTGCTGCTGACACTGTCTGTGATTTATTTAGAAGTCAAGGCACACTTAACCAGCATGGCTACCACAGCATTCTGCAGCGATACGCCATCCCATCTGGTTTGGCCTTAGTGGGACTGTCTTTTGTTTTTCAACAGGACAATGACCCAACACCTAAATCTCAACTTTATTTATTTAACACTTTTTTGGTTATTACATGATTCCATGTGTGTTATTTCATAATGTTGATGTCTTCACTATTATTCTACAATGTAGAAAATAGTAAAAAATAAAGAAAAACCCTTGAATGAGTAGGTGTTCTAAAACTTTTGACCGGTAGTGTACATTACTTTACTTTCTATAAAGTAATGACCAGAAGCAGAACAGATTACAGCACAAAAATACAGTTGGACAAAATCCAAGAGCCACCATCGAGGAACTGAGTGACTACTCCAGAGTTGAGAGAGTTGACTAGACCTCTTGAGCCATATGGCTTTGGAAGTGATTCATTTCCAACCCACACTGTTTTAGAGGCACACTATTTATTACCCTGCGCTTTAATAGCTTGGGGAAAATACCATCAAATCCAGAGCTAATGCACATCACCCTACTGAGCATGCCAACTGGAGAGTACACTGGTCTCCCATACCTCAAACCTAATTTCTCCATTATACCATGGCATTGTTGAATGCTTCTTTCTGATTGGCTTGAAGGGCATTCTAGAGCGTGCATTATTTCCCTATAACTCATGGTATATTTGCGCGTTAGAATTCAATGGCTATAGTTAATTCTTACATGTTCTATGTTTGAGCTGCTTTTTAAAAGCAAAAGTCTAATTGAAAACATTATTGGCATTGTTGAATTCGTTTTTCATAATGGCAAGCTAGGACTGATGGTTTGGTTAGCTAAACTCCTACCACGGCAACTACTGTAGCTACAGTTGAAGTCGGAAGTTTACATACACTTAGGTTGGAATCATTAAAACTCGTTTTTCAACCACTCCACAAATTTCTTGTTAACAAACTATCGTTTTGGCAAGTCGGTTAGGACATCTACTTTGTGCATGACACAAGTAATTTTTCCAACAATTGTTTACAGACAGATTATTTCACTTATAATTCACTGTATCACAATTCCAGTGGGTCAGAAGTTTACATACACTAAGTTGACTGTGCCTTTAAACAGCTTGGAAAATCCCAGAAAATGATGTCATGGCTTTAGAAGCTTCTGATTGACATCATTTGAGTCAATTGGAGGTGTACCTGTGGATGTATTTCAAGGCCTACCTTCAAACTCAGTGCCTCTTTGATTGACATCATGGGAAAATCAAAAGAAATCAACCAAGACCTCAGAAAAAGAATTGTAGACCTCCACAAGTCTGGTTCATCCTTGGGAGCAATTTCCAAACGCCTGAAGGTACCACGTTCATCTGTACAAACAATAGTACGCAAGTATAAACACCATGGGACCACACAGCCATCATACTTCTCAGGAAGGAGACGCGTTCTGTCTCCTAGAGATTAATGTACTTTGGTGCGAAAAGTGCAAATCAATCCCAGAACAACAGCAAAGGACCTTGTGAAGATGCTGGAGGAAACAGGTACAAAAGTATCTATATCCACAGTAAAACAAGTCCTATATCGACATAACCTGAAAGGCCGCTCAGCAAGGAAGAAGCCACTGCTCCAAAACCGCCATAAAAAAGCCAGACTACGGTTTGCAACTGCACATGGGGACAAAGATCTTACTTTTTGGAGAAATGTCCTCTGGTCTGATGAAACAAACATATAACTGTTTGGCCATAATGACCATCGTTATGTTTGGAGGAAAAAGGGGGATACTTACAAGCCGAAGAACACCATCCCAACCGTGAAGCACGGGGGTGGCGGCATCATGCTGTGGGGGTGCTTTGCTGCAGGAGGGACTGGTGCACTTCACATAATAGATGGCATGAGAAAGGAAAATTATGTGGATATATTGAAGCAACATCTCAAGACATCAGTCAGGAAGTTAAAGCTTGGTCGCAGATGGGTCTTCCAAATGGACAATGACCCCAAGCATACTTCCAAAGTTGTGGCAAAATGGCTTAAAGACAACAAAGTCAAGGAATTGGAGTGGCCATCACAAAGCCCTGACCTCAATCCTATAGAACATTTGTGGGCAGAACTGAAAAAGTGTGTGCGAGCAAGGAGGCCTACAAACCTGACTCAGTTACACCAGCTCTGTCAGGAGGAATGGGCCAAAATTCACCCAACTTATTGTGGGAAGCTTGTGGAAGGCTACCCGGAACGTTTGACCCAAGTTAAACAATTTAAAGGCAATGCTACCAAATACTAATTGAGTGTATGTAAACTTCTGACCCACTGGGGAATGTGATGAAAGAAATAAAAGCTGAAATAAATCATTCTCTCTACTATTATTCTGACATTTCACATTCTTAAAATAAAGTGGTGATACTAACCGACCTAAGACAGGGAATTTGTACTAGGATTAAATGTCAGGAATTGTGAAAAACTGAGTTTAAATGTATTTGGCTAAGGTGTATGTAAACTTCCGACTTCAACTGTATCTATTAAACTTGCTAGCTACTTCGGTGGATGTTGAACACATTTCTAGTGGCAAATGTGTTAAATAATGTCTGTCTACCATTGTGTCATGTCACACTCAATATGACGTAGGCCAGGGCTAGTCAACACCCGGCCTGCGGGCCAAAACCGGCCCCAAAGCTGATTTGATGTGGCCTGCCAAAGTTGTCTTATAGGCTATGTAAGGGATAATCAAGGTATAAAAGGTATAATCGGATAATCAGAGCACACCTTCCACGTAGTTCATTATTTTCCATTGAACGCATAGCCCGTCGTTGATTATCCCTTACATAGCCTATAAGACAACTTTGGCAGGCCACATCAAATCAGCTTTGGGGCCGGTTTTGGCCCGCAGGCCGGGTGTTGTCTAGCCCTGGCCTACGTCATATTGAGTGTGACATGACACAATGGTAGACAGACTACAGATGGTTATAGAAGTCATGGGGTGCTCTTTCCATTCCCATCAGATGCTGCGTGTTACCTAAAGCACATTTGGAGACGTACAGTATCTCTTTTCTCAAACTCTATTCTTCCTTGTACAGTCGAACACAACAGACTTGCAACCCCAGCAGCAGCCCATCTGACAGATGTTACTAGACCAGACATGATAATGAGGGGAAAATCAAATCAATGTGTTCCACTGTTCAGTCTCCCCTAAACGTCCAACCGTCCCTGCGGAGGACAAGACAACATTCTGAGGCTTCTTCCTATTGGTTTGGCCCGTCTAACATATTTGACAAAGACAAAGTTCGGGAGGTTAACCTGAAACATCCACTCTTCAATCCCTCCTCAGCCTGCCTCCTATAGTCCCACACAAGGGGGAAAACTTGAGCCACCAGGCCTCGACTTTTAAAACAAATTGTGACACAGAGACCAAATTCTGACACAGAGACCTTGCCGACAGTGGCACGGGTGGGCCACTGTCGGCAAGACAACACCTCAGTGCCATGGTAACCGAACTGGTCTCCAGGGAGATTCTGGGCTCGCGGCAGAAGTGTGGGGTATCCATGTCGGGTTAACCGCAGCCTGACAACCATTGTTTGTATTGTCACCATATAAATTAAATGAGTGGACAGAATGCGTACTATTTGAAGGGAAATGTACATATGCTAGGCTAATTGACAGTCAGAGGCTAGGATAATCCAGATCAGCTATCATCAGATGTAGCAGTTGGCATAGCATGCCCGCAACCCCTCTGTAGCCTGCAGCATATGTGTTTGGCAGATGGACTGATATCCTAAATCGTCACTGATAGCGAGGAAACATTTTCCTGTGGCTCTGCTCTGGGGTAAGTAGCCATCACCATTTCACTTAGTGAGCCAACAACAGAGCGGTGTGACTGACTCAACAACGACCAAGCAGAAACATTGAGGAATACACGTCTGGGAGAATGATGAAGGATATTGATTTCAACTATGAATATCTGAACAGCATTACTTCTAGTGCTTCCTGATTCTTAGACAATGTGTAGCAGTCCCCTGTAGCTCAGTTGGTAGAGCATGGCGCTTGCAACGCCAGGGTTGTGGGTTTGTTTCCCACGGGGGGCCAGTATGAAAATGTATGCCCTCACTAACTGTAAGTGGCTCTGGATAAGAGCGTCTGCTAAATGACTACAATGTAAATGTAAAAATTTTCAATTTTGCTCCAAATATAAAACAGTCTTGGAAAGGCTAAGCTTTGCTCCAAACATAAAACAGTAGGAGATCAACAGTAGAGTTAATCAAGATTTCAGTTTCGCCTGAAAGACAATGAGGTCCTCTGCTGACTGCACAGTGGCAGCACAACAGTGAAGAAACTTCTTCCTGAATATAAATAATGCTTTTTGGCTCCACTGGGCTTTTTGCTTCGTTTTATTTGCTTAGTTCCCATTCCCATAAAAGCAGCAAGCAGTGGGCGGCTTAAACAGAACCCATATTATGAGAAGTGCAGAGAAAGAGTTCAGCAACATCAGCAATATCTCAAGGTAGTTGGAGTCAATCTGTAATCTTCTGCACTGAAGCTATGATCAGTAGAAGGATGCAGGCTACATTATAGTCCGGAACACTCACCCACTCCCTGTGTAGGAGGTATGGCTGTCCGGGCGGTGACGTTTAGACACACTATGGCTGACATGCAGGTCACTTCCTTGCCTCCCCTCTCGCAGTCCTTCACAAAGATGTTGATCTTGCTCGGTTCAAACCTGATGTTGGCGTGAATTCGGACGACACTGCGAGACCTGCAGATAAACCATACACAGTGTTATGATCATAAATGTAGTTGAGTATATGCTCCACATACATACAGTACCATAGAAACAGTAGAACACTTGTTAATATCTAAGTAACCTACCATAGAAACAGTAGACCACTTGTTAATATCTAAGTGACCTACCATAGAAACAGTAGACCACTTGTTAATATCTAAGTGACCTACCATAGAAACTGTAGAACACTTGTTCATATCTAAGTGACCTACCATAGAAACAGTAGAACACTTGTTAATATCTAAGTGACCTACCATAGAAACTGTAGAACACTTGTTAATATCTAAGTAACCTACCATAGAAACTGCAGAACACTTGTTAATATCTAAGTGACCTACCATAGAAACTGTAGAACACTTGTTAATATCTAAGTAACCTACCATAGAAACTGCAGAACACTTGTTAATATCTAAGTGACCTACCATAGAAACAGTAGAACACTTGTTAATATCTAAGTGACCTACCATAGAAGCACGGCTGCCCCCAGGGAGCCCACTGCCAAGTCCACCAGGCCATCCTCGTCCATGTCCATATTGCCATGGATACTACGGCCAAAGTAGCGCAGGCCACTGGCCATGTCTAACGCAGCTATCCTCTGTTTGTATTTACGTAGAATCCTGTTGCGTTGGCTGAAGAAGACGTAGATAGCTCCTCTATGGTCATCCTCCAGTGGGGCCCCCACCACCACGTCGTTGAAGCCGTCCCCGTTCAGGTCAGGGACCGGGGCCAGCGAGGAGCCGAACCGAGCGTTCTGACCACGGTCCTGGATCTCCAGCGCTCCCTCCAGGATGAAACGATTCTGAAGAAGGAAATAGGATAGGATGATGTACTTTTTGAATATTTCTGGTACATGGGATAGAGTGAAATTTTGCTTGGTAAAGGTTGTGTCATGTGTCATGTGCCTGTCTATTCAATTATGCATATGCAAATGTCTATCCTATTGGTTGGTAGGACTCTCTTTGTAACTCCGTACTTAAAGAGTCTTTGGTTGAAAAACCTTGATGCTGTCAGTTAGCCTATGGTGTGTTACGTTGCAACATTGAGCCCAATCTGAAGAAACATTCGAGGGGTAACACTCATGAGTCATGACAGAGAAGATCACAGAGGAATGAAGTTGGATGACTGGGGTGAGTTACTCACAAACATAAACAACCTCTCACAGTACATATAAACTATGTCTCACAGTACATATAAACTATGTCTCACAGTACATATAAACTATGTCTCACAGTACATATAAACTATGTCTCACAGTACATATAAACTATGTCTCACAGTACATATAAACTATGTCTCACAGTACATATAAACTATGTCTCACAGTACATATAAACTATGTCTCACAGTACATATAAATTATGTCTCACAGTACATATAAACTATGTCTCACAGTACATATAAATTATGTCTCACAGTTCATATAAACTATGTCTCACAGTACATATAAACTATGTCTCACAGTTCATATAAACAATGTCTCACAGTACATATAAACAATATCTCACAGTACATATAAACAATATCTCATAGTACATGTAAACAATATCTCAGTACATATAAACAATATCTCACAGTACATACATTGGGGGAAAAAAGTATTTAGTCAGCCACCAATTGTGCAAGTTCTCCCACTTAAAAAGATGAGAGAGGCCTGTAATGTTCATCATATGTACACGTCAACTATGACAGACAAAATGAGAAAAAAAAATCCAGAAAATCCCATTGTAGGATTTTTAATGAATTTATTTGCAAATTATGGTGGAAAATAAGTATTTGGTCAATAACAAAAGTTTCTCAATACTTTGTTATATACCCTTTGTTGGCAATGACACAGGTCAAACGTTTTCTGTAAGTCTTCACAAGGTTTTCACACACTGTTGCTGGTATTTTGGCCCATTCCTCCATGCAGATCTCCTCTAGAGCAGTGATGTTTTGGGGCTGTCGCTGGGCAACACAGACTTTCAACTCCCTCCAAAGATTTTCTATGGGGTTGAGATCTGGAGACTGGCTAGGCCACTCCAGGACCTTGAAATGCTTCTTACGAAGCCACTCCTTCGTTGCCCGGGCGGTGTGTTTGGGATCATTGTCATGCTGAAAGACCCAGCCACGTTTCATCTTCAATGCCCTTGCTGATGGAAGGAGGTTTTCACTCAAAATCTCACAATACATGGCCCCATTCATTCTTTCCTTTACACGGATCAGTCGTCCTGGTCCCTTTGCAGAAAAACAGCCCCAAAGCATGATGTTTCCACCCCCATGCTTCACAGTAGGTATGGTGTTCTTTGGATGCAACTCAGCATTCTTTGTCCTCCAAACACGACGAGTTGAGTTTTTACCAAAAAGTTCTATTTTGGTTTCATCTGACCATATGACATTCTCCCAATCCTCTTCTGGATCATCCAAATGCACTCTAGCAAACTTCAGACGGGCCTGGACATGTACTGGCTTAAGCAGGGGGACACGTCTGGCACTGCAGGATTTGAGTCCCTGGCGGCGTAGTGTGTTACTGATGGTAGGCTTTGTTACTTTGGTCCCAGCTCTCTGCAGGTCATTCACTAGGTCCCCCCGTGTGGTTCTGGGATTTTTGCTCACCGTTCTTGTGATCATTTTGACCCCACGGGGTGAGATCTTGCGTGGAGCCCCAGATCGAGGGAGATTATCAGTGGTCTTGTATGTCTTCCATTTCCTAATAATTGCTCCCACAGTTGATTTCTTCAAACCAAGCTGCTTACCTATTGCAGATTCAGTCTTCCCAGCCTGGTGCAGGTCTACAATTTTGTTTCTGGTGTCCTTTGACAGCTCTTTGGTCTTGGCCATAGTGGAGTTTGGAGTGTGACTGTTTGAGGTTGTGGACAGGTGTCTTTTATACTGATAACAAGTTCAAACAGGTGCTATAAATACAGGTAACGAGTGGAGGACAGAGGAGCCTCTTAAAGAAGAAGTTACAGGTCTGTGAGAGCCAGAAATCTTGCTTGTTTGTAGGTGACCAAATACTTATTTTCCACCATAATTTGCAAATAACTTCATTAAAAATCCTACAATGTGATTTTCTGGATTTTTTTCCTCAATTTGTCTGTCATAGTTGACGTGTACCTATGATGAAAATTACAGGCCTCTCATCTTTTTAAGTGGGAGAACTTGCACAATTGGTGGCTGACTAAATACTTTTTTTTCCCCCACTGTATAAACACACTCAGGAACAAAAACATATGCACAAGGGGAATCCATCAACAACAGACATAGTGGCTAAGGAAATGGAGTCAAGTTATACATCTGCTATCTCCTGTGCTGCGGCCGGGTAGCCCCATGCCCCTCGGGCTTCTGGGATATCTCAGTCATCCATCGATGATCTCCCTCAAATGGACAGCCCTCCATTTATTTACACAACTCATAATGAGACATAGAGACATTCCCACGGGGGCCCAGTATGAAAATGTATGCACTCACTAACTGTAAGTCGCTCTGGATAAGAGCGTCTGCTAAATGACTAAAATGTAAATGTAAATTGTTGCCTTAAACTTTCCCCTTCAATCTTTACAGAAGCTTTCATTTGTTATTCCAAATTCATTTAGGAAAGTAAACAAGACATTTTGGAAGGCTTTGTTTTTGTTGACATAAATAGACCAAAAATAACTAACAATCAAAGAACTGGGGAGTTTGAGTTTTGCATTTGAAATCAGCTGAAAACCTCAAGCTGCATTGTTGTAGGGTCTAACACATTTTATATCCCAAGGGGGAAATCTGATTTCCCCAAAACATTGTCAACATGAGGGATGGGTGATTCATCCGAGTGTCACATGATCAAAGGCAAACATGGCTTCTGGATGTTTCTTTAGGGATGTTTCTGTCGAACTTTGAGTATTCACAGTGGGTGTAAAGTCAGTCGGAAAATATCTGTATCTTTGAATATAATTTAGTTTCCCCCCAGTCTGGAAAAAGGTACAATCCCTCAGCATTAAGACAGTCTGGGAGCCAGTATTTGAGGCTATCGTTAGCCATGCACATCATCACTCTCCCGGCTGTCCCATCTTCCTCCCTAATCTACAGCCTGTGGACGGCTGAAACATTACATCACTTGTTTTTTCAGTTGTCTTTTTAAAGGAAAGTGGAGGACGAGGGAAGGAGAGGGTGACGTGGTACACACAGTTGTGTAGTCACCAGGGTAGTGTGTGTGTGAGTGCGTGTGCATGTGTGAGAGAGGGGGGAGGATCATACTCAGTCGGGTTTATTTGAAACATATGGTGATTTGTGGTGAGACCATCACAGTCATTCCACAGTGGCCCATGGGGGCTTATTGGTAGAATGGAAGGCCACCTCTCTGTCACTTACGTTGACCTAAACATTCAATTGCTTTTAGACACAACACCAATTTTGTGTCCTTAGTTGGGGGGATCCCTTGTCTTAGTTTATTATTTTTTTGTTGTTTGGGGAACCCTAATGCTCAAGCCCCTATCAGTCCCCCAGTCCATAGCTCCCAGAGAGAGAGAGAGAGAGAGAGAGAGAGAGAGAGAGAGAGAGAGAGAGAGAGAGAGAGCTGTGGCCATGCTGAGACCTGGCTGGCTGTGTGAGTCTCATAACAACACAAATTCCTCTGCAGTCATTAAGAAGCCCCCTTCCTTCTCCAAATGACTGGCTGGTAATTCAGTTTGAAGTGGTGAATGCTTTCCTACTGAGTTCACTGTGCACTTGTACACCAGGCATCTAATGAAGATGGTGTGCTGGCGCAGGGAGGGAGGGTGTTCATTTGATCTGTGTGACGGCAGGTGCCCAAAGTCTGGTAGACTGTTTGTGCTGTGCCAGTGGGTTAACTAACCCTAATCAAGGCTCTGGAAGGTCTGGTCTCTGGTCTGGTGGTATAATGTACATGCAAGGCATAGGGATAGTTTGGCTCTATGTGTTCTGGTCGAGGTGTTTCGTATTCTGTGCTGACCCGGTTTTAAGTGTGTTTGGTAACGGGATCTGGGGTGTGTGTTTAAGTGTGTGCGCGTGTGTGTGTGTGCACACGAGTGTGACGTGTGTGTGAGCATGCTAACATCTGTGCATGAGTGTGTGCGCGTGAGTGTGTGTGAGCATGCTAACATCTGTGTGTGTGTGTGCACACGAGTGTGACGTTTGTGTGTGTGTGAGCATGTGTACATCTGTGAGTGAGTGAGTGTGTGTGTGAGCATGCGTACATCTGTGAGTGAATGTGTGTGTGAGCATGCGTACATCTGTGAGTGTGTGTGTGTCTGTGAGCATGCGTACATCTGTGAGTGTGTGTGTGTGTGAGCATGCGTACATCTGTGAGTGTGTGTGTGTGTGTGAGCATGCGTACATCTGTGCGTGAGTGTGTGTGTGTGTGTGAGCATGCGTACATCTGTGAGTGTGTGTGTGTGTGTGTGTGTGTGTGAGCATGCGTACATCTGTGAGTGAGTGTGTGTGTGTGTGTGTGAGCATGCGTACATCTGTGAGTGTGTGTGTGTGTGTGTGTGTGTGTGTGTGTGTGTGTGTGAGCATGCATACATCTGTGAGTGAGTGTGTGTGTGTGTGTGAGAATGCGTACATCTGTGAGTGTGTGTGTGTGAGCATGCGTACATCTGTGAGTGTGTGTGTGTGTGAGCATGCATACATCTGTGAGTGAGTGTGTGTGTGTGTGAGCATGCGTACATCTGTGTTTGAGTGTGTGTGTGAGGGAGTGTGTGTCTGCATGTCCACCCACCAGCTCAGTCACTCTATAGATGTACACCTTGCCCTTCTCCCAGCCTCCACTGAAGAACATGGGCGCTGCCACCAGGAGGTTGTCTGTCACTCCGTCCCCATCTATATCCACCGGGGAGATCTCACTCCCATAGTACGACCCAATCTGAAATATAACCACACATCCAGACCCTGGATCAAGAACAATAAAATAATAATCTGGTTATTTCGCAGACACTTTTATCCAGAGTAAACACATAGTGTATTGCATATTCAGTAGATATGGTCCATGTGGGAATCAAAACCATTACTCTAGTTGACACATAATGCTCTAAAAACACCATGCTAACCAACTGAGATCATTAAGATCCCCACAGTCACCACATCCTTCACACATGCTATCACACATGCCTTGACCACATCATAAAACCCCCAGCAAACGTCATTAGCATTCATTAGCATAGCATTCCAGTCATCATCATCGTTCAGGTAACAGACCCAGATGTTTCCCATATAGGTTAATTGGCCCCACAAAACAACCCAGCCGTTCATCTCAATGCAACAACCAGACTTGGGTTCAGATGCCATTCGAACTTTCAAAATACTTTTACCGTTTGCTTTAGCCTTTCTGGAGTGCCAATGATTTACAGTTTTGCAACTATTTCATTGGTTCCATTGCATCAGGCAAGCTCAGACAAGCCCAGCTATAGTCTTTGAAATGATGGCAAATAGTATTTGAACCCAGGTCTGTTCCTCTCAATGAGTGTCCTTATGGATCTCTCTGCCTCTTCTATGTTTAGTAACCTCTTAGCTGGTGTTGTTTACTGTAGCTGATGATTTGGAATGTGTGTGTTTTGAATTAAGGGGTCGGGAATGGGATGGGAACACATGGGATCTGTGTAATATTGTTGGCTACATGGGGGTGTGAGAAGGGTGTCTAGACTCGGTTTGTCCCAGGTCTTGGAAGCACCAGTAGTGCAGACTATCATGGGCTGCCAGATTGGGTAAAGGACTGGAAGGAATACTGTGATGATGGACTCAGATGGTGATGGGTTGCAAGATTGAGGAGGGTCCATGTGCATAAGGGACTATCAGGGTCATTGATGGTGTCTTCATATGTCTTTTAAAGAGAGAGTATGCAAGTGTGAGCTTGTGCTATACCACTGTGTAACTGTTCAGCTTATGGTTGGAATTTAGGACTTGGGTTGTGGCTCAGGATAGTGTTGTGGCAAACAAAACACATGATTGTGTTAATCGAACAGGTCGTAGACGTGTTTTAAAGTCCCAGTTAAAAAGACAGTTTGGGAAGGCCAGTTGTTGATTCTACCTGTTGTCCTTTGAGGGAGTGCAGGATGGTGAGGTTACCAGTGTTCTTCAGGGTGAAGATGATGACCTTGCCAGTATGGTTGAACCGTGGTGCCCCGGCCACGTACAGCCGACCGTTCCTGGCCGACACCACTGATGTTACTGTGTAACCTGGACACACACACACGCACACGCACACATGCACACACACACTTGTTGAGTCCAAATGATTAAATCATTAATTATTGAAAGCCAGTGTATTCACTAAACCCAGTGATTGAGGATTCTCATAATTGCTAAATCAGCCTAATGTTCTCCTATCTGTCACACTCTCAGTTTTTGTTGACCTCCTATGTATTCCCATTTCATTGCCCAGTTGTCTTGAACTGTTTCCTCAGATCACTGAAGCACAAAGCCTGTTCCTCATATAATATCTGGGAGGAATGTCAACTAATGTTACAGTGTGTGGTGAAACCCACACTCTCTTCTCTGCGCAACATCACGATCAAATGGGCCAAATAAAGGCATACCAGTGTGTGTGTGTGTGTGTGTGTGTGTGTGCGTGTGCATGTGTGTGATTCACCATAGGCCACTGTAATCCCTCTGGTTGGGTTGTATGAACTGCATGAGCCAAACCTGATTTATAAAAAGCAACTATCCTGTCGACTTTGTTTAGAAACAAAGTTCAATGGCCTCACTAGGGTGAGTCTCTCTCTCTCTCTCTCTCTCTCTCTCTCTCTCTCTCTCTCTCTCTCTCTCTCTCTCTCTCTCTCTCTCTCTCTCTCTCTCTCTCTCTCTCTCTCTCTCTCTCTCTCTCTCTCTCCTTTCCCCATCCCTCTCTCAGTGAGCATGTCCAGACTCATGCCTCTGCCCCATATTCCATAATGAGGCTGGAATGGCTTCTGTGGGCAGGCAGGCAGGCAGGCAGGCAGGCCAGCGGCTGATGGGAAAAGCAGAGGGCCGTACAGGCAGGAGGAGCGGTGGTAGGGTAGAGTGGGATGGGGTGGGATGAGGTGGAGTGGGATGGAGTGCAGTGGGAAGCGATGGAGCAGTGGACTGGTTTCTAGATAGGGCTGCAGCGAGGCCTGGTGCTAAACCACTGGGGTTTCCCTGTGCCTGCCACATGTCTATCCAGTGAAGAAGGGGGAGAGATGGAAGATGGAGATAGGGGATAGAGAGAAGGAGGGGAGAGGTGGAAGATGGAGATAGGGGATAGAGAGAAGGAGGGGAGAGATGGAAGATGGAGATAGGGGATAGAGAGAAGGAGGGGAGAGGTGGAAGATGGAGATAGGGGATAGAGAGAAGGAGGGGAGAGGTGGAAGATGGAGATAGGGGATAGAGAGAAGGAGGGGAGAGATGGAAGATGGAGATAGGGGATAGAGAGAAGGAGGGGAGAGGTGGAAGATGGAGATAAGGGATAGAGAGAAGGAGGGGAGAGGTGGAAGATGGAGATAGGGGATAGAGAGAAGGAGGGGAGAGGTGGAAGATGGAGATAGGGGATAGAGAGAAGGAGGGGAGTTAGGGGATAGAGAGAAGGAGGGGAGAGATGGAGGAGGAAGAGGGGTGAGAGAGCGAGAGAGAATGTAAAGAGAGACAGTAAAGGCGAAGAGATGGAGGAAGGTCAGACAGAGGATGAGGGATCTACCCAAACCAAACACCTCTGTGAACAATCCTTTAGATCGTCAATTCCTCCCTCACCTAGGTAGGCACCATGGTTCTTCAGCTCCTCTGGGAATTCCTGTGAGTAGGAGGACTTGAGTGGGACCACCTTCCCCTGTCGGGTCTCCTTCAGGACAGCTCCATTCCAGTCGTAGGCCCCCGGTGCCCCCACCAGGATCCCATCCTGTAGGGACAGACAGCAGACAGGCACTTAGTGTGAACATAAAAACATATTGTGACATTGTGTGTGTGTGTGTGTGTGTGTGTGTGTGTGTTGTGTGTGTGTGTGTGTGCTTGTCCCTCTAGTCCCCAGGCTACAATCCCCAGCTTCCCTCTAGTCCCCAGGCTACAATCCCCAGCTTCCCTCTAGTCCACAGGCTACAATCCCCAGCTTCCCTCTAGTCCCCAGGCTACAATCCCCAGCTTCCCTCTAGTCCACAGGCTACAATCCCCAGCTTCCCTCTAGTCCCCAGGCTACAATCCCCAGCTTCCCTCTAGTCCCCAGGCTACAATCCCAGCTTCCCTCTAGTCGCCAGGCTACAATCTCCAACCTCATTCTAGTCCCCAGGCTACAATCCCCAGCTTCCCTCTAGTCCCGAGGCTACAAACCTCAACCTCATTCTAGTCCCCAGGCTACAAACCTCAACCTCATTCTAGTCCCCAGGCTACAATCCCCAGCCTCATTATAGTCCGCAGGCTACAAACCCCAACCTCATTCTAGTCCCCAGGCTACAATCCCCAACCTCATTATAGTCCGCAGGCTACAATCCCCAACCTCATTCTAGTCCCCAGGCTACAATCCCCAACCTCATTCTAGTCCCCAGGCTACAATCCCCAACCTCATTCTAGTCCCCAGGCTACAATCCCCAACCTCATTATAGTCCCCAGGCTACAATCCCCAACCTCATTCTAGTCCCCAGGCTACAATTCCCAGCCACCCTCTAGTCCCCAGACTCCAGCACATATATTTTTGCAGAAACTCCACCCAGACATGTGTCTGCATTAAGAGTTTGAGTTTATTCACGCATTCTGCCAACAATAGCTTAAAAAACAATAAATGAGTCAAAACGTAAGTCTGCCTAGCCACATTCATTATATTTTCCTTCATTCTCCTTTCAAATGGATTTTAAAAGCCATTGGAGATATTTGAGAGGATAATAAATGAAGCTTGCATGGATCCTCCAAATTATTAAAGCGTTTAGCCAAACGCTCTCTCTCACACACAAACACGTGTTCCATCACCTGTATGCAGCACACTACGTAATATGAAATAATGTTGATGAGAAACGTTACAGGTTCATCATCATCATAGGTTACAGTAGGGGCATTTTTAGGTCTTTGTTACCAAACAAACACTGTCACCAGTAACCACAAGCACGTGAGAAGAAGACAGCGTACGGGCCGGCAAGTCTTCGACAGTGGACATTTGGTTCGTCCTACTCAGTTTTATAATTACAGTGTTCCCCCGAGTCTAATCTCTGCCCAGCCACGCATAATATGTAGATGGCACATTTTCCATAGGTTAGCTACCTGTTAGCATACGACTGACGGAACACTCTTGGACTACTTCTCGACCGCTTCCTGGGACATGGAAACGTCTAGCTCACTGAGCGACTGATTTCACAGACTGACCCTACGTCAGTTTCTGACAGCTGTGTGGTGCTAGACTCTGTGGGTATCTGTTTTGGTGGTGGTGCACACCGTTTCCATGGTGATTGAGCCCCAAATAATCCCCACTTCATAAACTTGTGACCTATTTCTAGTGCCAGTGTACATAAGGACATGGCTGTACCATGCTGAGCACTGGGTTGGTTGGTTTCTCTAACTGGGCATAGCGAGAGTGAAGCTAGCCAGTTCTGTGGCAAAATGGTTGTGAAGCTGGCCAAGAGATATTTGTATTTATTAAGACTTAGTAGAGCCAATGGTGGCGTTCCTGGCCGTCGTCTTCTTTTTAAATAGTTGTGCATCTCAGAAGATCGCTGTACCTTATGAATGTGACTCCAGAGATGTTATACACCTCTCCAGGCTTGTTGTGATCTGAAAAACTGCAATAAAGACGACCTGGAACATGTCCATTCTCATCGTCCAACCTGCGGTCATTTACACACACAACTGTGTGTGAAACAATGCCTTATATCTGGGAATCACTTTTCAACATTATTACTCTGAGATGGAGCAAGCCATAGCAATAAACAAATTGATAGATATCTGGCTAGCTGGACTGCATTGGAGAATAGGATGTCTGGGTATGTAGGACTTGAGCAGAATCAAGCTGGCAAACTCCACATTCAACAAAACCATCTGGTCTTTTGGGACAGTTTTTCTCCTTTAAGGTTCCTGAAGTCTTTCCAACAAGTTATCCTACTCTCAACACTCGGGTTGCCTTTGTTGAGAAAGTGCTATCCCTGGAATCCAGCCTTCTGGAGTACGGAATTTCCAGCCATCCCAGTCACCCAGCTGCAGTTTTCCTATTTATTGTTTTAAGAAAAAGGGATATATTTATTGTTCCCTAGTCAGGTTGTGCTTCAACTGTAGCGTGGAACTGTAAAATCAAAGCTATTGCGTCAGCAAACCTGAATCTGGGACGCAGATGGAGAGAGAAAAAATAAATGAAGAGCGGTACATGGGGGAGGATGGGGACAGCAGGTACATGGGGGAGGATGGGGACAGCAGGTACATGGGGGAGGATGGGGACAGCAAGTACATGGGGGAGGATGGGGACAGCAGGTACATGGGGGAGGATGGGGACAGCAGGTACATGGGGGAGGATGGGGACAGCAGGTACATGGGGGAGGATGGGGACAGCAGGTACATGGGGGAGGATGGGGACAGCAGGTACATGGGGGAGGATGGGGACAGCAGGTACATGGGGGAGGATGGGGACAGCAGGTACAGTAGAAAACAGGAGTTGGACAGACACTTGCGGATACCTCTTCAGCTGTGTCAAGCCCAAAGCCAACACACCTGCCCCTATCAAGTCTGAATGCAACCAAAACTTCCAGGAAAAACACCCCAACGTTTTACAACTCTCTCGTGAGACCTTCTCTGAGCCTTCTCTGCTACGATATGACTCCCTGGGGACTTAACAGTGTTTTATTCCCATCTCTGGAAGGCCTGTCTCGTCAGTGAGGGGCCCCTAAATCAGGATGACCTCAGCCTCTGGGGCCACACAGCAGGCCCTCCTGGGGGCCTGGAGAGTGAGGGATGGGATGGAGGAATGGAAACCTGTCAAAAGTAGAAGAAAGTGCAGACGTGTGTGTGTGTGGGGGGGGGGGGGGAACTCACCTCCACAAAGTGTGAAGAGAAGCCAGCCTGGGACATCTGGAGGCCAAAGGCCGTCCCGTTCTTATTGGTCCCTGTAGAGGAAGATCAGGTGAGTTCAGGAAGAAGAAATTACTTGGGTCTAGTTCACAGGACAGCATAGAATCCAAAGGTGTTTTAGCCATAAGCGTAGTAGTAGGGTCATGGTGGTATAGACATTTCTAACACATTGATATAGTCGTTGTACATGTTGGCTTGTAGAACATCACAGTCTAGAATGGGCTGAGTGTATAACTCAATGACCTACCTCAGAGTAATGCCTAAATGTTGTGGCTGTCTTTACAGATGGTTGTTTTACAGCATTATATGGAATACCCTACCTTCCAAACTGAAGATCCTATCCCCAAGCGCGTCCACAATGTCCTTCAAGGCAGACTCGTCAGTCACCTTGAAGAAGTGCTTGTCATCGGGGTCACTGGCGATATACTTGATTTCATTCAGGAATGCCTCTGGGTTGATTCCACGCCGGTTGTAGTAGCCAAGCACCTAGGGACAATCAGGCAGAGACATCAATCACCAGACTTTGCTGTAGAGTGCCCTAGATAGAGCCATCTCACATATGAACTGTGACTCAAAAATCCTGTTGCCCACACAAACCAATGGGTTTGAAAACTGGCACACTTTAGATAGACTTAGAAGTTTAACCAGAGAAGGGTGGTTCCAACTTCCAATCCTTTGGTGGACTGTGTCCCTGCTGCCTGCTGTCACAAATTCCAGCTGTCAGCAACCAAATGAACTCGGCACCTCCCTTCTCTTCTCAGATGCCCATGGCCTGGTTTGACTGGGCCCCCTCACCTCATCATCTATGGGCTGAATAAGCTCAGGAGAACCCCGTGCCAAAGCGCTATCAATCAAAGTGTTCTGTGGGCTAGGAAAGATCATTCACACCTTCAACCACTTGGCTGGCTGTGTATACGTTCTGAGAGGGCACTTAACAGTTTGAGCTCTGTATAAACCTCTGTACTCTTTCGAGCACTGGTGAAGCTCACATCACATCCATGAAGTCACATCCCAATGTGCGTTAAAAGTGTATATGTCCCAAACCACAAAAAGTTAACATTGTCTGACATTAACTGTAGCCACCTTGTCATTATGGAGGCACGTAGCAGTATTATGGTAGCTAGCAAAAGAGAGTAGATGCAGCAGCTGACTAACTGTAAATGCATTTAATAACTATAGCTAGCCTACTTGCTAGCTGTCAGTTAATTGTGCTAGTTAGTTAAATGTGGGGTGAACCAATTCACTTATTGGCAGTTAGCTAGTTAGTTACCGCTCCTTCTCTCTTTGCTAGCTACCGTAACATTGCTTCATGCCTCCAAAAATAACCAGGTGTCTCCACTTATGTTTACATTTTGTGGTTTATGACATTTTGATAACTTTTTGACATCAGAGCAACGGCAGTGGAAAAACAAGGGAGAGAGGACAGGAAGGAGACAGAGAGGGTGACTCATAGCGATGGTGTAGCGGGAGAGAGGACAGGAAGGAGACAGAGAGGGTGACTCACAGCGATGGTGTAGCGGGAGAGAGAAAGGAGACAGAGAGGGTGACTCACAGCGATGGCGTAGCGGGAGAGAGGACAAGAAGGAGACGGAGAGGGTGATTCACAGCGATGGTGTAGCGGGAGAGAGAAAGGAGACAGAGAGGGTGACTCACAGCGATGGCGTAGCGGGAGAGAGGACAGGAAGGAGTCAGAGAGGGTGACTCACAGCGATGGTGTAGCGGGAGAGAGAAAGGAGACAGAGAGGGTGACTCACAGCGATGGCGTAGCGGGAGAGAGGACACGAAGGAGACGGAGAGGGTGATTCACAGCGATGGTGTAGCGGGAGAGAGAAAGGAGACAGAGAGGGTGACTCACAGCGATGGCGTAGCGGGAGAGAGGACAGGAAGGAGATGGAGAGGGTGACTCACAGCGATGGCGTAGCGGGAGAGAGGACAGGAAGGAGATGGAGAGGGTGACTCACAGCGATGGCGTAGCGGGAGAGAGGACAGGAAGGAGATGGAGAGGGTGACTCACAGCGATGGCGTAGCGGGAGAGAGGACAGGAAGGAGACGGAGAGGGTGACTCACAGCGATGGCGTAGCGGGAGAGAGGACAGGAAGGAGACAGAGAGGGTGACTCACAGCGATGGCGTAGCGGGTGATGCCATCCTTCTCGCTGTCCTCAATGGCCTGCTGAAGGTCAGGGCTGTCATGTGACTCCCCGTCAGTGATCACGATCATCACCTTCTTGGCGCCTCGTCGGGCTCCTCGCTTGAATGCTTCTGAGCTGTGGCATGTGATTTATTCAATTCATATTTGAAAGGTTAAAAGTTTATAGCCAAAAAGTGGGATTTGAATAATAACCCCAGAATAAAGTTACAGTGTTTAAAGTTTTGTTCTAGTCTTCTATTACTATTACCTAATGTAATTTTACCATACTTTACTGTATGTCATTATTGTTGTATTTGTTGTAAGATACAATAGATAGACAACTTTAAATTCTAAACTGATTTAATATTAGGGATATTTCTGATGTAGTTTCATATCAGTTGGGGAGTTTTACCGAGCGACGTTGATGCCGAGTGCCGTGTTGGTCTCCTCTCCGCCTCGCTGGTGGATGTTGCTTGCTCTCTTCACCACCTCCTCCACTGACTTGTAGTCATTCAGATGGAACTCGTGCACCACCTTCTCCCCATACTGCACCACTCCAACCTGGACAACATCACGCACATGCATTATGACATGTTTAACTCCAGGTCTGGAGGGACAAATCACGTCTGGTTTTCTTTCCACTAATCAGCAACTTAGACTTAGACAACTTCATTCTTTGGCAGTCCAGGCCTGGAGTTGAACCATGAAAACTTCAGGCATCATTTATTTCAACCAGGTTAGCCAGAGTGACACATTTCCCATAACTCACCTGTATCTGGCCTGGTCCGATGTAGAACTTCTGTAGAATGTTGATAAGAAAGGATTGCACCTCCGTCCAGGGGTAGATGGAGTTGGAACCATCCAGAACAATCACTATGTCCATGTAGGTCTCGCACCCTAGCAGAGAAAGACAAAAAATATAATGTCTTGAGCAATGGGAAACAGTATAATGCATTAGAATCAATAATGACTTATACTTATGGAATGAGATCCATAAAACATTGCCAAACAGGAAAGGGAAGTGCTCTGTACTTACTCTGGAAGGCTGGAGCTATGGTTTTGGAGAATTTGAAGCTGGCGTTGACCCGGGAGCATATCCCAGTGCTGTAGTATGAGCTGCCACACTCATAGGACCATAAGGGTCCACAGGCCTATACAACGCACAATAAAACACAATCAGCACAGCAAGACCACCCTGAGACATGTACTGTGTACCATGGGCCTACGCTGGATGAAAAGGTCAACAGGAACAGTTTTTTTTTTGGGGTTCTTCACCACAGGAGGTTGGTGGTACCTTAATTGGGGAGGACGGGCTCTTGGTAATGGCTGGAGCGGAATTGGTGGAATGGTTTCACATACATCAAAACACATGGTTTAATGCCATTCCATTCGCTCCGTTCCAGCCATTATTTTCAGCCGTCCTCCCCTCAGCAGCCTCCACTGTTCGTCACGTACCCCTGAAATTGACCACCAAGTTAGTCTCTGTGAAAACCACACATGATGGCACCATACTTTTGATAGACTGTGTGTTCACCACTAACCACAAAGCTGTTGTCTTTGGGGTTGGTTGTCAGGGTCATCCCCAGCCTCATCTTGTCTTTTCGCTCGGCGACATTGGTTAGAGATATCCTTCCTTGAGGAACAAGAAAAGAGAGTGTTCAAAGAAACAACAATGTTTATTCTAATAGCTTGATGTTAATACAGCTTTTGAAGACTTTTGCGTATATTTTTCACTTATGCTATGTACCGGCGGCAAGTCGCTTCACAAGCTTCTGCAAAACCACTGACTACAAATAAAGGCAATATAATGGCAGTTAAGAAGATGATACTAGATCTCCCAACTAAAGGACGAACACCTGTCCTTTGAGGCAGCGTGCAGAGCTTTTTACTGCAGTGGGCTAAATCAGTGTCACACAGAGTGTTTCTCGGTAGTCTTAAACAAATCTACTCTGAAACAAAAGTATACACCTCACACACATGGTTATGGGCTTTAAAAAGAAGACACCTGTACCATGTCAGATATAGAGCTGAAATGTATTACATTTTATCCCAATACTACAATTTCTATGGATCACAGAAGACTGAAATATAACAAAACCGTTTGACATAGAAACAACGGATTTTCAACAAAAATGTTGTAAAAAATTATTTAAAAATATTAACATTCCACCCATGAGGCCACTAGAGGGAGATTTGGTCATTTGACTGCAGGAAAGGACTATGCGCTTCTGGGAACTAGGTTCGTTAAAGTTGTCAAGCCAGGCGCAGCAGTGTCTACATCATACAATATCTGCCAGCTAGTTCACACATCTTGCTGTGTCTCTCTGTACAACACGGTACAGATGGGTCTCATCTGAGGAAACATGTGGACGTGTGGTGTGATGCCTAGGAGGATACAGATGTGGAAATGTACATAAAACTGTTAAAGGTGGAATGAACAGCATGGTCCCCAGATTTCACTCCCACACAACCTATGACACACATATAAGGCACGTACTGTGCACATACACACATTACACATGCACACACTCTAATGGCTACAACACACACACACACACACAGACACACACATGCACACACACACACACAGACACAGACAGACACACACGCACGCGCACGCACACACACACACACACACACACACAGACACACAGACACACACACAGACACACACACAGACACAGACACACACGCACGCACACACACACACACACACACACAGACACACAGACACACACACACATCCACACACAGACACACAGACACGTACACACAGACACAGACGCACGCACGCACACACACACACAGACACACACACACCCACACACACACACACACACACACACACACACACAGACACACACACACAGACACACACACACACAGACACACACACACACACAGACACACAGACACACAGACACAGACACACACACACATCAGTCTCATGGGGCCCAATAGGTGTATGTCAGTCTGTGAGAGTTGCTAGTTATACTGCACCTAGGTTGAGTTTGGAACAGCTGCCGTTGGACCGTTTGCCCAATGGGCATTTGTACACATCCCCTGTCTGGTGGTGACCATTGGTTTCATATGGAGCTCCCACCAATAACCTGTGAAACATTAAACAAGACAGTCGGAAAACACAATTAACTTAATTGCATATTATACTTTTTTTTGTATTAATAGTATTAGTTGTGATAATATAGTGATAACATTGAAGGCACTTCTAGTGACGTTACATCTGATAAGAAAAAATGAAGTGAAAGACATGGCATTTAAACTCTGCTAGACCGATTTATCTGACTGGAATGTCTTTGCTAACTCAGCAAATGCAAACCCAGTGAGTAGTAGAGCAGGTATTTGAAACACTCGTGGTCTTCCTTGTTTGTGACTGGCTGTGTTCCTGTGGGAGCATGTTAACATCTCCCCTGACCCCAGACTGACACGCTCATAAACACACTGGCCTAAACACTGGATCCACTCCACATTGACCCTGGGAAGTTTATATCTCTGTATCCCTCTCTCTCGCTGTCTCTCTCTCTCTCTCTCTTTCTGTCTCTCTCTCTCTTGCTCTCTCTTTCTTTTGCTTTCTCTCTCTCTCTCTCTCATGGTCTCTCTGTGGGAGCATGTTAACTTCTCCTCTGACCGCAGACTCTTTCTCGCCCTCTCTCTTTGGCTCTCTCTCTGCCTCTTTCTCTCTCTCTCACCCTCTCTCTTTGGCTCTCTCTCTGCCTCTCTCTCTCTCTCTCTCTGTCTCTCTCTGTGTCTCTCTCTCTCTCTCTGCCTCTCTCTCTCACACACACAGAAAAAGAGATAGAGAAAGCAAGAGGTAGAGAAAGAATGGAGAGCCGGAAATTGTCATAGCGGCTAGTCGGATACACATGTGACTGAATGACTTCCAAGGGGCCAAATACCACCTACATGTACTACCACGGGTCAGCTAAGGCAGCTGCATGCTAACTGAATATACCCAATGAGGAGGCATTTCACCTTGAAACAATATAGAGGTCACCATGAGTTCTCCTTGACTGAAACACAAGCAGGCTCAGAGTTCTTTGGCCATGACGTAGAGCTCAGGGGAAGATAGTTCAGCACTCGACTTTGGGGTTGGACATCAGTGCTAGGTCAGGATGGTCTTGTAAATGCCAGGGAAGGCTTTCGATGACTTAATGTGGTGGAGCATGTAAAACGCTCTGTGTTTACCTCAGGGCTGGGTGGACAGATAAAAGGGAGATATAATCCTCCTGAAGTATCTGAGATAGAAGGGCTCTTTGTATGCTTGGGTAGGAACAAGAGACTGTTGCCAAAACGTTTATGTGACAGTATGAAACCACAAAATGCAGATAGTTTTCTTGATTATCTCTTGATGTTTCAACTTGTAACTCAATGTCTTGGTACATGAAGCTCTTACAGTGGGGAAAAAAAGTATTTAGTCAGCCACCAATTGTGCAAGTTCTCCCACTTAAAAAGATGAGAGAGGCCTGTAATTTTCATCATAGGTACACGTCAACTATGACAGACAAATTGAGGAAAAAAAATCCAGAAAATCCCATTGTAGGATTTTTAATGAATTTATTTGCAAATTATGGTGGAAAATAAGTATTTGGTCACCTACAAACAAGCAAGATTTCTGGCTCTCACAGACCTGTAACTTCTTCTTTCAGAGGCTCCTCTGTCCTCCACTTGTTACCTGTATTAATGGCACCTGTTTGAACTTGTTATCAGTATAAAATACACCTGTCCACAACCTCAAACAGTCACACTCCAAACTTCACAATGGCCAAGACCAAAGAGCTGTCAAAGGACACCAAAAACAAAATTGTAGACCTGCACCAGGCTGGGAAGACTGAATCTGCAATAGGTAAGCAGCTTGGTTTGAAGAAATCAACTGTGGGAGCAATTATTAGGAAATGGAAGACATACAAGACCACTGATAATCTCCCTCGATCTGGGGCTCCACGCAAGATCTCACCCCGTGGGGTCAAAATGATCACAAGAACGGTGAGCAAAAATCCCAGAACCACACGGGGGGACCTAGTGAATGACCTGCAGAGAGCTGGGACCAAAGTAACAAAGCCAACCATCAGTAACACACTACGCCGCCAGGGACTCAAATCCTGCAGTGCGAGACGTGTCCCCCTGCTTAAGCCAGTACATGTCCAGGCCCGTCTGAAGTGCATTTGGATGATCCAGAAGAGGATTGGGAGAATGTCATATGGTCAGATGAAACCAAAATATAACTTTTTGGTAAAAACTCAACTCGTCATGTTTGGAGGACAAAGAATGCTGAGTTGCATCCAAAGAACACCATACCTACTGTGAAGCATGGGGTTGGAAACATCATGCTTTGGGGCTGTTTTTCTGCAAAGGGACCAGGACGACTGATCCGTGTAAAGGAAAGAATGAATGGGGCCATGTATCGTGAGATTTTGAGTGAAACCCTCCTTCCATCAGCAAGGGCATTGAAGATGAAACGTGGCTGGGTCTTTCAGCATGACAATGATCCCAAACACACCGCCCGGGCAACGAAGGAGTGGCTTCGTAAGAAGCATTTCAAGGTCCTGGAGTGGCCTAGCCAGTCTCCAGATCTCAACCCCATAGAAAATCTTTGGAGGGAGTTGAAAGTCTGTGTTGCCCAGCGACAGCCCCAAAACATCACTGCTCTAGAGGAGATCTGCATGGAGGAATGGGCCAAAATACCAGCAACAGTGTGTGAAAACCTTGTGAAGACTTACAGAAAACGTTTGACCTGTGTCATTGCCAATAAAGGGTATATACCAAAAGTATTAGAGAAACTTTATGTTATTGACCAAATACTTATTTTCCACCATCATATGCCAATAAATTTCATTAAAAATCCTACAATGGTGATTTTTGGATTTATTTTCCTCCATTTGGTCTGGTCATAGTTTGACGTGTACCTAGTATGAAACATGTACAGGCCTCTCATCTCTTTTTCAGTGGGAGGAACTGCCACACTTGGTGGCTTGACTAAATAGCATTTTTTCCCACCACTGTATAGGTGATGACAAAATTCACCTGATACTCCTCATATATAGACACAGATCTCTTCAAAGTTTAGCATATGATATCTTTAGATCAGGCACCAACACATGATTACCATCATGCAATATATTCATATATTGTTTTACAAGAGCTTCTAAAAGTAGCCTAAGCTGTAAACCACAAGGAACCCGTGTAGCCCAACACAAACCCATTGCTACTCAGGATAGTGGCATGCACAGGAGCAATTCACTCACCAGGGCAGAGGTGTCCCAAAGGGAAGGGACAACATTTACATTTAACATTTACATTTTAGTCATTTAGCAGGCGCTCTTATCCAGAGCGACATGCAGGAGCAATTAGGGTTTAAGTGCCTTGCTCAAGGGCACATCGAGAGATTTTACCCGCTAGGCTAACTGCCAACACTTGACACCCCTTTATAGCAAAACCAGACCTCCACCAATGCACTGCCTGGAGTTATGGGTCAACCACATGAACCTCTGTAGTTTCATAACATGTCTCCATCACATTGTTCCATGATTTAACATTTTAGATGTGTGGTATACAAAATGGTGGTATAATGGTTACCTTAGCAAAACATGACACTTGACATCAACATCCTCAGTCATCTAAAACAACTATGATAGCTTGACTTGAGATTATGACATCATGCAATATTCAATTAGTAAACTGATATCATAAGTGCAGGTTATGTCAACTGAAACAGAAGCTTTGTATGTCACTGAATGTTTGAATAAGGTAATGTTTGAATAAGGTAATGTTTGAGTAAGGTAATGTTTGAGTAAGGTAATGTTTGAATAAGGTAATGTTTGAATAAGGTAATGTTTGAATAAGGTAATGTTTGAATAAGGTAATGTTTGAGTAAGGTACATTAATAGCACTGACTTTGCTGATAGCTACTTTATTGAGGAAAAATGTATACTGAACAAAAATATAAATGCAACATGTAAAGTGTTGGTCTCATGTTTCATGAGCTGAAATAAATAATCCCAGAAATGTTCCATTTGCACAAAAAGCTTATTTCTCTCAAATGTTGTGCACACATTTGTTTACATCCCTGTTAGTGAGCATTTCTCATTTTCCAAGATAATAATAATATAATAATATGCCATTTAGCAGACGCTTTTATCCAATGCGACTTACAGTCATGCGTGCATACATTTTTGTGTATGGGTGGTCCCGGGGATCGAATCCACTACCTTGGCGTTACAAGTGTCGTGCTCTACCAGCTGAGCTACAGAGGACCACTTGACAGGTGTGGCATATCAAGAAGCTGAATAAACAGCATGATCATTACACAGGTGCACCTTGTGCTGGGGACAATAAAAGGCCACTCTAAAATGTGCAGTTTTGTCACACAACACAAAGCCACAGATGTCTGAGGTTTTGAGGGACCATGCAATTGGCATGCTCCTGCAGGAATGTCCACCAGAGCTGTTACTAAAGAATTGAATGTTAATTTCTCTACCATAAGCGTCATTTTAGAGAATTTGGCAGGAAGTCCAACCTGCCTCACAACCGCAGACCACGTGTAACCATGCCAGCACAGGACCTCCACATCTTGCTTCTTCACCTGCGGGATCGTCTGTGACCAGCCACCCTGGACAGCTGATGAAACTGAGTAGTATTTATGTCTGTAATAAAGCCCTTTTGTGGGGAAAAACTCATTCTGATTGGCTGGGCATGGCTCCCCAGTGGGTGGGCCTATGCCCTCCCAGGCCCACTCATGGCTGCACCCCTACCCAGTCGTGAAATCCATAGATTAGGGCCTAATTCATTTATTTCAATTGACTGATTTCCTTATATGAACTGTAACTCATTTAAATTATATATTTGTTCAGTATGCTTACTATTTACATTTGTTTTACATTTTAGTCATTTAGCAGATGCTCTTATCCAGAGCGACTTACAGTTAGTGAGTGCTACATTTTCATACTGGCCCCCCGTGGGAAACGAACCCACAACCCTGGCGTTGCAAGCGCCATGCTCTACCAACTGAGCTACAGCGGACTACTATGACTGAGATATGTGATTATCCCACCTAGCTATCTTAAGATGAACGCACTAACTGTAAGTCACTCTGGATAAGAAGAGCGTCTGCTAAATTACTTAATGTCAAATGTATCATGTAGACAAATGTTTATGTAGGAAATGTCGAGAAATATGACTTAAAACTAAAAGATTACTCAGCTTTTTTCAAAAAGTATCAAATGTCACAAATGTACATTGCATTTATTTACATTGAAAATATAGCATCAAAATATATGCAACAATTCAGACCGTAGCCAAAGAGTGAAGCTGTTAACTGGGATGCTTGGACAGTCTATGGCAGCCAGACTAAGACATGTGGTGAGGGGACTGCGTCTGGGACCAACTGTCCAAGTCTCACAGACTCAGGAAATGATTTTCACCTCTGGAGCTCCAGCAGTGCTCATATTTTCATAGCTATTAATATCATGATTATTGCTGAAGTTACTGCTGTCCTTTGGCACAGTGTGATACTGTAGATTGAGAAAGTTCAGACCGGGACAGGGCTACCTTCAGAGAAAGGGGACCATTGTTTCCCTTTGACTTGAAGGTCTCCTTTAACTCCCAGTCAGTTTCATGAAGAGCTGTTAAGACAATCATCGCTGAACATTCATTAGGGTCAAACGCTAGCCATGTAGCATCTTTGCGGATACGGTAATGGTGTTAAACGAAGTAACCTGACCCTAAATGGACTGCCAGGACGTATTCTCCCACAGTTACTGAGGAATGCAGGATTTGGTATTTGTGGAAGCACCATACTAGAGCCGAAGACATTAATGCGCTAATGTCTTTCACATTTGGAGGAGGAAGGAAAGACGTTCATGCCGCGAAACCGTACCTCTGCCCTAAACACGGGTCTGCGTGCAACTTCAATGACATAGCTCTCTCATCACATTCCATGTGCATACGTAGACAGGATCTGAACGGCTTTAGCCCAAATTTGCCAATCCCAAAAGTAGTAGTACTCAGCAACTTGCACTCTGTGTTTCATAAGAGCTCTGTCAAGTCATTACATAACCTAATAACTCTGCGGTAAGATTAAAATCTTTCAACCAAGACGTCCAGACCAACTTTAAGCAAAAAGGACATAAGATACGTGCTGTAGGTTTCCCGGATCTAGATTAAGCATAGTCCTGGACTAAAAAGCTTGCTCCATGTAGAATATTGTAGAAGTGTTCACACAATGCAGATGTCAAAAACTATACAGTCAAGTTTTTTGCTTTGTCCTTCAGCTTCAACAGCTTCAGTTTCAACTTTCAATGAAAGCTGAAGGTTCAGATAACAGACAACAGTATTTAAACCGAATGTCTGAAGATTGGCTGAGGAGTGGCTGAGGATTGGCTGAGGAGTGGCTGAGGATTGGCTGAGGATTGGCTGAGGATTGGCTGAGGAGTGGCTGAGGATTGGCTGAGGATTGGCTGAGGAGGTGGCTGAGGATTGGCTGAGGAGGGGCTGAGGATTGGCTGAGGAGGGTCTGTGGATTGGCTGAGGAGAGGCTGAGGATTGGCTGAGGAGAGGCTGAGGAACAGATGATGAACAGCTGAGGAACGGCTGAGGAGTGGCTGAGGATTGGGCTGATGGAGGGGGTCTGTGGATTGGCTGAGGATTGGCTGAGGAGGGTTGCTTGAGGATTGGCTGAGGAGGGGCTGAGGATTGGCTGAGGAGAGGCTGAGGAACAGATGATGAACAGATGAGGAACGGCTGAGGAGTGGCTGAGGATTGGCTGAGGATTGGCTGAGGAGGGGCTGAGGATTGGCTGAGGAGGGTCTGTGGATTGGCTGAGGATTGGCTGAGGAGGGGCTGAGGATTGGCTGAGGAGGGTCTGTGAATTGGCTGAGGATTGGCTGAGGAGTGGCTGAAGATTGGCTGAGGAGAGGCTGAGGAACAGATGATGAACAGCTGAGGAACGGCTGAGGAAAGGCTGAAGAACTCCCTGCATCTCTAAGTGTTGCGTGACTCGTGACCACGCCAAGGTGGAATGTCAGGTCTCAGCTGGAGCGACCCGGTGCCATGGCAGGAAAACAAACAGAGGGAAGAGAGAGTGGGAGGTGTGGAGGAGAAACCGGTATGTGGGCCCATTTATCCACACAACGCTCTCACATGGGGCTACTCTTGTGGCCTCTCCAGAGAGTGGCTGCTCTATCAGAATGTTTAAAGATCACACAGTCCCGGACGGACACGTTGGACAAACAGATATTCTTGAAATGGCTACCTTTCCCCATGTTGACATGTTGTTCAAGGACAGCATCTGTCAGTTGACGTTTGAAGGATGCCTCAAGGTTAAAAGACGTGGAAAGAGTCGGGTCACACTTTATTTGGACAGTCCCATATAGATGATCTACAGATGGTCATACTATCAACAAACTATCTGTTGATGATAAGCAACTGCTTGGACTTGGTTAGAAAGAGTAGATACGGCAAAATATCCTCCGTGTTATATCACTTTCTCAAGAAACTATAGACTGGAAAAAAAACTGAAGTCAGCAGAAGATTCCCAAGATACTGTAAGAAAGTAATGCTTTTTTCCACAGAATCTCCACAGAAAACCCATGGTTCCACAGACACTTTATTGCATTGTCCCGAGAAGGGTTCTTGCTCAAGCCATTCTACTGGCAAATGGAGATCAGGTAGTGCTATTTTCTGCTGTTAGTCCTCAGGAAGGCGATCTCTAAACTTTCTGGGTCATAAAAGGCTCATTTATAGAGTCATTTCCAAGCTGAGTCTGAGACTGTGATGTTGTTCCTATCCAAATACCAAGCTGAGCTTTCCAGAAAATCAGACAGCTCTTTGTAAGACTGGAAAAGTCAACAGAGCTATGGTATTTGGCACAGAGGCTAATGGGAAATGTCATTCGTTGTTTCAATTTAAATTCCTTTGAACGTTCCCCCAAAGTGAAAGTCCTTGACTGGAAACCATCATGTAGCTGAAACCTTATAATGACTCTTCATGATTCAATATTCAGTTAAAATACATAAATTAGATGAAAAATTGACTTGCCAGTCTTAAAGTAAATCAATATAAATTATGCAAACAATACCGTACAAACTGTAACATTAGTCTCAAAGACAATATTTCTTAACTGCCTGCGCTGCTCACAATTTCCTAGCAATGCAGTAAATTTCTCCACAAATCATGGTCATGATCACAGATACTGTCTCAGCCTCCAGTATCTATGCTGCAATAGTCTATGTGCGGGGGGCTAGGGTCAGTCTGTTATATCTGGTGTTATTCTCCTACTTATCCGGTGTCCTGTGTGAATTTAAGTATGCTCCCTCTAATTTTCCCTCTCTCCCTCCCCTCCCGGAGGACCTGAGCCTTAGGACCATGCCTCAGGACTACATTTACATTTACATTTACGTCATTTAGCAGACGCTCTTATCCAGAGCGACTTACAAATAGGACTACCTGGCCTGATGACTCCTGGCTGTCCCCAGTCCACCTGGTCATGCTGCTTCTCCAGTTTCCACTCTTCTGCCTGTGGCTATGGAACCCTGACCTGTTCACCGGACGTGCTGCCTTGTCCCAGACCTGCTGTTTTCAACTCTCTCTCTCTACCGCACCTACTATTTCAACCTCTAAATGCCTGGCTATGAAAAGCCAAGTGACATTTACTCCTGATGTACTGACCTGTTGCAACCTCTACAACCACTGTGATTATTATTTGACCCTGCTGGTCATCTATGAACGTTTGAACATCTTGGACAAAAATCTGTCCTTAATGGCCATGTACTGTTATAATCTCCACCTGGCATAGCCAGGCCTCTCACCAGAGCCTGGTTCCTCTCTAGGTTTCTTCCTAAGTTTCTGCCTTTCTAGGGAGTTTTTCCTAGCCACCGTGCTCAGAGCCTGGTTCCTCTCTAGGTTTCTTCCTAAGTTTCTGCCTTTCTAGGGAGTTTTTCCTAGCCACCGTGCTCAGAGCCTGGTTCCTCTCTAGGTTTCTTCCTAAGTTTCTGCCTTTCTAGGGAGTTTTTCCTAGCCACCGTGCTTCTACATCTGTATTGCTTGCTGTTTGAGGTTTTAGGCTGGGTTTCTGAATAGCACTTTGTGACATCTGCTGATGTAAATAGGGCTTTATACAGTGGGGGAAAAAAGTATTTAGTCAGCCACCAATTGTGCAACTTCTCCCACTTAAAAAGATGAGAGAGGCCTGTAATTTTCATCATAGGTACACGTCAACTATGAAAGACAAATTGAGAAAAGAAATTCCAGAAAATCACATTGTAGGATTTTTAATGAATTTATTTGCAAATTATGGTGGAAAATAAGTATTTGGTCACCTACAAACAAGCAAGATTTCTGGCTCTCACAGACCTGTAACTTCTTCTTTAAGAGGCTCCTCTGTCCTCCACTCGTTACCTGTATTAATGGCACCTGTTTGAACTTGTTATCAGTATAAAAGACACCTGTCCACAACCTCAAACAGTCACACTCCAAACTCCACTATGGCCAAGACCAAAGAGCTGTCAAAGGACACCAGAAACAAAATTGTAGACCTGCACCAGGCTGGGAAGACTGAATCTGCAATAGGTAAGCAGCTTGGTTTGAAGAAATCAACTGTGGGAGCAATTATTAGGAAATGGAAGACATACAAGACCACTGATAATCTCCCTCGATCTGGGGCTCCACGCAAGATCTCACGCCGTGGGGTCAAAATGATCACAAGAACGGTGAGCAAAAATCCCAGAACCACACGGGGGGACCTAGTGAATGACCTGCAAAGAGCTGGGACCAAAGTAACAAAGCCTACCATCAGTAACACACTACGCCGCCAGGGACTCAAATCCTGCAGTGCCAGACGTGTCCCCCTGCTTAAGCCAGTACATGTCCAGGCCCGTCTGAAGTTTGCTAGAGTGCATTTGGATGATCCAAAAGAGGATTGGGAGAATGTCATATGGTCAGATGAAACCAAAATAGAACTTTTTGGTAAAAACTCAACTCATCGTGTTTGGAGGAAAAGAATGCTGAGTTGCATCCAAAGAACACCATACCTACTGTGAAGCATGGGGGTGGAAACATCATGCTTTGGGGCTGTTTTTCTGCAAAGGGACCAGGACGACTGATCCGTGTAAAGGAAAGAATGAATGGGGCCATGTATCGTGAGATTTTGAGTGAAAACCTCCTTCCATCAGCAAGGGCATTGAAGATGAAACGTGGCTGGGTCTTTCAGCATGACAATGATCCCAAACACACCGCACGGGCAACGAAGGAGTGGCTTCGTAAGAAGCATTTCAAGGTCCTGGAGTGGCCTAGCCAGTCTCCAGATCTCAACCCCATAGAAAATCTTTGGAGGGAGTTGAAAGTCCGTGTTGCCCAGCGACAGCCCCAAAACATCACTGCTCTAGAGGAGATCTGCATGGAGGAATGGGTCAAAATACCAGCAACAGTGTGTGAAAACCTTGTGAAGACTTACAGAAAACGTTTGACCTGTGTCATTGCCAACAAAGGGTATATAACAAAGTATTGAGAAACTTTTGTTATTGACCAAATACTTATTTTCCACCATAATTTGCAAATAAATTCATTAAAAATCCTACAATGTGATTTTCTGGATTTCTTTTCTTCATTTTGTCTGTCATAGTTGACGTGTACCTATGATGAGAATTACAGGCCTCTCTCATCTTTTTAAGTGGGAGAACTTGCACAATTGGTGGCTGACTAAATACTTTTTTCCCCCCACTGTAAATAAAATTTGATTGATTGATTGAGACAGACACACAGACAGCCAGCCAGACAGACAGACATACATTGACACACAGACAGACAGACATACATTGACACACAGACACACAGACAGACACACCGACAGACACACCGACAGACACACAGACAGACAGACACACAGACAGACAGACAGACAGACAGCCAGACAGACAGACATTGACACACAGACACACCGACAGACACACAGACAGACAGACACACAGACAGACAGGCACACCGACAGACAGCCAGACAGACAGACAGACAGACACACAGCCAGACAGACACACAGACAGACACACAGACAGACAAACAGCCAGACACACAGCCAGACAGACAGCCAGACAGACAGACAGACAGACACACAGCCAGACAGACACACAGACAGACACACAGACAGACACACAGCTAGACAGACAGACAGACAGACAGACAGACAGACACACAGCCAGACAGACACACAGACAGACACACAGACATACACACACACAGACAGACAGACAGACAGACAGACAGACAGACACAGCCAGACACACAGACAGACAGACACACAGACAATGTACACAGTAACACCTATTAGAACAGTGAAAGTCTCCCCTCTCAGGTCACCCATGCTGCCACAGCCTGCCACAAGGTGTCATGACGTTGGTGAACACACACGGTTCTCCAACGGGTAGCCGTCTGCTACATCAAAGACACACGTCAACATTGAAAAAAACTCAACTTCAGTACCACTTCTCAAACCCTCACTGCCCGCTGAATTCTTGGCATCACAGACTCATTCATCAACCCTTGAAAAAAGGCCAAGACTGGGACCCCCACGACATTTGCACAATGCGAGCTGTGTTAACTGGGGGTCTGCTTCCCACATCACATGCATGCTGCTGCGTTCAGGTTTCAGCTGATTGATATCTGGGGCAGTGGTCTGGGTGTTGGGGGTCTTGGACTAAACACATGCCAGCTCAACCTCTGTGTAGTGACCAGAGAGTGGATTCCTGAGTGGCACGCAACGCTGATAAGTCTACCCAACACTAACCATCTAGTGGACGTCTACCAAACACTAACCATCTAGTGGACGTCCACCAAACACTAACCTTCTAGTGGACGTCACCCAACACTAACCATCTACTGGACATTACTGAAAGCCAAGAGGGATTGCCAACCACCACCACCACGAAGAAGAAGAAGAAGAAGAAGATGAAGAAGAAGAAGAAGAAGAAGAATTGGATACAATGTTAC